ATTGTCTTACCACAAAAATATATAATATCTCTTATTAACAAAGTTTTTTTTATGAGATTAAGAAAATTATCACTAATAAGATTCAAAACAAGTACCTTAGAGTTAGATACTAATACTCCAACCACTAAACTGTTAGAATTTTCTAATAAAAATTTACAAATAAATTATATTTATATACAAATAAATGTATATCCGTGTAAATATATAAATATAAAATATAAAAATACAAATATATTTATATATTTTGATATATGTATATATTTATATGTTCGATGTTAGGGTCAAGCTAGAGGGTGAAAGTGTGCGTCGAGTGAGTTTTCAAAATTTGATGTCAAATTTGTGAGTGAGTCTCTTTATATGGATTTATAATTTAATGATAGAATATAATCTTTATAATTTATTTATATAATGATATAAAATAATTGTTTTCTTTATTTATTTTAATTTATTCTTTTTATCTTTTTTTTCTTCTATTATTTAATTAAAATTCTTATATTAAAATAATTTGTTCATTATTAAAAATAATTAAATATTTATTTTCAAAATTATTTTTTAAAATTATTTAATTTAACAAATTATTATAAATTAATCTATGTCTGGGAAAAATAATTATTAAAAGATGATTTTGATTAATTTATAATAATATATGTTAGGAAAAAATTGTTCTATTAATAATCATAATTAGATTAATTTATAATAATTTGTTAAATTAAATAATTTTAAAAATAAATATTTAATTATTTTTAATATTGAAAAAATTATTTTAATATAAGAATTTTAATTAAATAATAGAAGATAAAAAGATAAAAAGAATAAAATAAAATAAAAATAAATAAAGAAAAAAATATTTTATATCATTATATAAATAAATTATAAAGATTATATTCTGTCATTAAATTATAAACTCATATAAAGAGACTCGCTCACAAATTTGACATCAAATTTTGAAAATCCACTCGACACATACTTTCACCCTCGAGCGCGCCCTCACATCCAACATATAAATATATTTCTATTTGTATTTATATATTTTATATTTATATATTTACACGAATATATATTTTTATTTGTATATAAATATAATTTATTTATAAATTATTATCAAAAAATCCTAGTAGCTTAGTGGTTGGAGTATCAGTCTTTAACTCTAAGGTACTCGATAATAGAAAGGGGTTATAAAAAAATATTTTTAATTTTTTAATGTTTTTGTTAGTGACCGATATAGTGACTGATTCGATCTGTCACTGATTCAGTCACTGAAATCAGCGACCAAGGAAAGAGTGACCGATTTGGATTGATTACTATTTTGGTCACTATTTTAGTTAGTGATCGATTTTGGTCATTTAGTGACTGAAAATTTGGTCACTATTTGATGTTTTTGTTGTAGTGTTATGTTAAAGTCTTGTAAATATAGTTTTTTTTTTAAGTTTTTCTCTATCTTGTATAATTGAGTTTATCAATACAAAGTAAAACAGTATTTATTCTTTCATCTGTATCATAACAATAATATGATATCAGATTATAAATTACTTTTCTCGTTTTTGTACCCTTCTCTGCTTTTTTGTTTTTTTAATCGATTATAGTTCAATCCAGACAAAACACATCTACACCGGATCATATCATTAATCCAGTAAACCCCCTATACCTCCATCTCGATAAAAACCTAACTATTGTCCTTGTCTTCCCTCTATTGACGGAAAACAACTTCCATCAGTGGCAGCGAGAGTTATTAGGTGATTTTAGTGTTTCTGACTATTATACAAGGTTGAAAATTTTATGGAAAGAAATAGAGTTATATTATTTATATGTTCTTCTCTGTACATGCTCCACACCCTGCTCTTGTGGTCTTATTCCCAAGCTACATAAAGAACTAGAGGATGATTGTGTTATTTGGTTCTTACGAGGGATAACTGATAAATATTCGCAAGTTCAATCTCAGGTTATGATGATGGATCTTATAACTTCCATTGTAAAAACGTTTTCTATGATTTTACAACATAAACACAATCTCAGGTTTCTTCTCTCCATTGTTATCTCTTCTAGTTGGTTTTCACATCAACTAGATGTTGACAATATTTTTCTACATGAAGATCTGGATGAAGAGGTTCACACGAAACCACCACCTAGTCTGCAACTTCCTTCTCCAAAATTAGTTTGCAAACTTCACAAATCCTTATATAGATTGCAACAAGTAAATAGACAGTGGAATGCTAAACTCACTATTTGTCTTACTCAATTTTGGATTCACTCAAAGCACAACTGATTACTCTTTATTTGTGCAACAAACTCCTTATTCTTTTACTGTCCTCTTGATATATGTTGATGACATAGTGATCATTAGTAATAATCTTACTACTATCACACATCAAATCTTATCTTCACTCTCAATTTCACATTAGGGATCTTGGTGACTTGAAGTATTCCTTGGGACTTGAGGTTGCCCGTTCTAAATGGGATTAGCTCTTAATCAATGAAAGTACGACCTTGATATTCTATATGAGTTTGGATTAACTAGTTGTAAACCTGTCCCAACTTCAACTAATTCTTCTATCAAACTAAATGAAATAGATAGAGATCCTCTTACTGATTCAACTAATTATCGCAGTTTAATTGGAAAGTTATTGTACTTTACTCACACACAACTAAACATAAGTTTTGTTATGCAACGAATCAGTCAGTTCATGGCAGCTCCTAAAAACTCTCATTTAAATGTTGTTTTTCGAATTTTACCATATATAAAGAATGCCCCTAGACAAGCACTTTTCTATCTAGTTCAAAATTCTCACAGACTTCAAGCCTTCTCTAATTCATATTGGGCTACTTGCAGCATTACACGACGATTCATAACAAACTATTGTATTTTTTATGGTGATTGTCTCATTTCTTGGAAGTCTAAAAAATAGAACACAGTTTCCCGCAATTCTACTGAGGTTGAATACAAGGCTCTTGCCACTGTGGGCTAGTGAGCTTCAATGACTCAAATATATTGCAAATAATATTTCTATCAACATCCCTTTGTCAGTGTTTACTTTTTGTGACAATCAGTCCACCATTCAATTAACAAAGAATTCATCTTTCCACGTGTACAAAACATATTGAGATGGATTATCATCTAATTCATACCAAGATTACTGAATGATTCATTATCCTTTCTCATATTTCCTCTAAACATCAACTTGTTTATGTCTTTATTAAATCTTTATATCCAGTACCCTTTCTTTAAAATATATTCGAGTTAGGTTTAATAAACATACGCCCCAATGTAAGAGGGGTACTTTCAGATAAAATATAGTCTTTCTGTTATAAAAAATAAAGTTATTATCAACTCTTTATTTATTGTTATGTTAATATTATAGCCTTGTAAACACAGCTTTGTGGAAACAAAGTTTCTCGACCTTGTAGAGTTGAATTGATCAATACAAAGTAATATAGACATTATTCTTTTATCTATATTATAACACTAATAAAATATAAAATCAACTCACATAAATTACACACACTTTTTAAGGTAAATGAAGTTTTAAATATATATGAAATTTAATTATGAGTATTTAATTATGTGCTTACACTTAAAAAAAAAAATTTACACCTACAAATTAAAGATTATATTTGAAAGAGTGAATGCTGTTGGGACTGAAAATTACAATTCACTATTCTGTATAAGAAAAAACTTCTTTTAAAGATTGAATTAATGGTATCTTAGTTGAAAAAAATACATCTAAAGTAATTAAGTACTATTTGATTTAATTTAATTTTTTAGTCTTTAAAAATAGTTTTAAAAATTAATTTTGAAAAATTGTATTTAAAAATAAGTAGAAAAAGAAATTTTTTTAATAATGTTAGTTTGAAAAATTCTTTAAAGAAATGAAATTGATATGGATGACGATGAAAAAGTACAATAAAATTAGAAAACGATTTCGGTAATTTTATAGCGAAAAAAAAACTTCTAATATAATAAAACCACGTATACATTTTATAATTTTTTTTAGTTTTTAAAAACAAAAAAACAGAAATAAATTTTAAAGTTATTTTAACAAAATAATTATTAGATAAGTTTTTATTTTTTAAAAACTAAAAAATCAAAAACTTTTTTGAAAAATAATAACAAACAAACCCTAAATTAAAATCTAAACTCAAAGTAACTAAAGTTGTAGGCACTAATTTTAGAGACTGATGTAATGAGTAATTGAAAAACCTATTTAATGATAATATAACATAATCTAATCATTCTCCGTTTGAAAAAAATTGTCGTATTTAAATTAGTTTTTAATGAGTTTCTTATAATTATTGTATGAGTTCAATATTTTATTTTTCATACTTTTTATCAAATTTGATTTCTTTTTCTATATTTTAACATTTATTTAATTATATCTTAAACTTGAAAATGCAAATCTTGTCATTTTGTAAATTTTATGACACTTAAAAAATTGTTATTAAAGTTTAAATTTGAGTATAAAAATGAATTAAAATCATATTTAGTTATTTTATTAATTTTACTAATTGTTGAATATTAAATTTAAATAAAAATGATTAAAATATATATTATTTTAAAAGTTAAAAAAATCAAATTAATTAAAAGTATGTATTGAAAAAAATATTAAGACAAATATTAATTAATAGAGAATCATTCTCTATAAATATCTATTCAATAATATTTTTAAATTATTATATTATTATTCATTTATTTTATTTAAATCTTTTTCCTTATACTTTAATACTTCATTCAACCATTATGTGACGGGGGTGAAAAGTTGACATCCAACACCACCTTCAAAAACCGAAAATATTAATATAATAATAAATCTTAATATTATATTAATATAAACGAGGTTTTCAAATTTTTAAGTTTATATTTTTCCATTAATTGTGTGACTAATAGTTAATGAATTCAGTATTAGAGACGAAAAAGTGGAAGACATTTTCTACCATTTTTATGTATAGGAGAGATAGAGAGATTAAAAACAAAGGTGTCTATTGGAACTGTTCTTAACATTAGCATCTCAATACACTAGTTCACTAATTGAATAAGCTAAAGCCAAAAGCAGTAGTTGGTATACTAAATCCACAGTAGGTTGATTTCCACTTCTGACAGGGATTCGGGTAGGGAGGGAACACAGTTCACCGTTAAAAAAGACCTTTGAAGGGAACCCATCGCCTTTTGCAATTTGTATATTCTGTGAATACTTCTTGGTAAAGGAAAGAACAGATTGTTGTTTCCCTGGCACAGGTGGGTTTGTTCCATTGTCTAAAGCTATTAGATAATTTGATCCTTGCAATCCTTGCAAGAAAATAGTATGGTTGAGCGTTGGCATGAATGTTCCATTAAAAGAATATGCTTTTTGGTAACCAAGAGGAGTCTTCTTGAATTGGAGTGCAGTGTACCAATTGGCAAAATCGCTAGTCTTCCAATTGAACAGAGTGATTCTGCCACTCCACCCACCTTTGTAATCGGAAACCACATGCCAGTTGATGCTGACTCCACAGTTGTCAGGACATGGTAGTTTTTTGGGGATGGTAAAATGCTTGAGTTTGGCCCAAGCAACTGTCTTCTGTGACCTATTGTCAAAGGGTACAAGAAGAGCTTCTGGAGGGAGAAGCATTGGTGGTAAATTGGGATTACATTTTTTGGTATTATCATCACAGCCACAGGCACATGTGTTGCAAGGGACCACAGACTCATTGTAGAAAGAAGAGAAAGAAACACAACAACGACTCTTTTTGGTTGGCGCAGTGATATTGCAGATTATTTGCCAACTTGCAATGGAAATAACCGTTGCTTCAAGTCCTCTAGGGTCTGGAAATCGTGTTGGCTCCACTCTTCTAGGTGATCCACATTTGTAGGTCGGGTTCAGAATGCCCGTTATTTGCCATTTCTCTGGAGGGAAGATCGCAGTTTTGTTTAAATCAGGTGGAATTTTGAAGACTTGCATTATAAAAACAGACTTGGATTTGCTAGGGTCCATGACGATAGGTAAAAGAGTTCCGTTTTTGCAACAGTTAGGTATCTTTCCGATTTCATCGTCGTTATATTTCTCTGGAGGCAAGTCACTCAATATAGGATTCTTCTGACAGTTAAGCACTTTAGAGAAATCCATGTCCCTGTAATACCTTCCTGCCTCACCACTGATGCAACCTGTGGACTCTATCTCACGTGTGAATGCACCTTTCATAGAGTATATAAATTCCCCTCTTGTCCACACCCAGGTCAAGTTCCAATGATCCAACCGTCCCAAAAAGTGTTCATTCTCAATCGTCACCTGAACCATATAATTATTGTCATACACTTGAGTAACGTCGTAGGATATGGGAAGATCTCCTTTCTGTCGTTCCAAGAATTTTGTCTTCTGAACTGTAGGCTTGAATTTAGGGTCCTTTTTGCAGCATGCATACATGGAACTCTCTGTGTTGGGACATGATTTTACCAGTGAGATTACAACTAAAACAAGAACATATACGAGTTGAATCAAAAACAGGAGAGAAAATGTCTGCTATTGAGTTTGAACATGGAAGAATCACGAGCACAGATATAACATGCAATGATTCATGATTTTAGAAGAGAATATGTTTGTTTGTTTGTTTGTGAATAAACTAAAACATGAAAAAGGTATACTACTCACTTTGGGTAGAAGGTTTGGGGCACCTGTAACCATCGTTTAACAACTTGATGGTTTTTGGCATAGGAGGCGTAGGAGGCTTGACTCCAAACTGGGTGCCAATAAGCTGGATGACAGCTTGAATTTGGTCTAAATCTTGAGCTGTGTTGATTGCGCTATCCAAGTCTGGCACAGACGCTCCAACAAAGGTAGTTCCATTTCCAACCGAAGCCGGGAACTCGGTTCCATCATCTAAAATACCTCCACTGACAGAGACTAGAATCTCGTCATGTTGAAACTCTATGAACAACTTCCACGCTTTAACCACTTCTTTGCCCGTGTTTAGAACTGTTGCGGTGGATTTGAAGGCCCACGACTGTGCCGTCACATTCTTCACGTGAGGGAACTCTTTGGTTCGAGTGAGAAAGTCATAGGAAATGAAAATCCCGTCACAACTGTCCGCTGCTGGAGGCAATGCCTTGGGTTCTTGGCCCTCACACTCACGAATTACTATTCCACATGAAAGCAACAATACTGATAGATATGGCATTAATGCTCTTGCCATGCCCTTTTGCTTGCAACGACCATAGGATGATGAAACGCGGAAAAAAGGATGCATGGTAGTTGGTTAGAGCATAAGAAACGAATATTTTGAAAGATGGATGGAATGATAGAGTGTAGGAGTAGAGTTACGGAGGGGAAGTGAGTTGCATGGAAGTTCGAAATATGGGTGAAGAATTAGTCACACGGGAACATCAGCCTTTAAGTGTGCGATGGATTTGGCGGAGGCAACGACTAACTTTACCAGTTATACTATTAATTATAATTTGTTTAACAGTAAGGTCAAATTACTAATTTTATAACCTTACAAATAAAATAAAATTAAAGCATTCTGTTATGAAGTGACCAAGAACAAAATTATTAAAAAATAATAATTAATATATAATGTTAATTATTTATTTGAAGGTAAGTTAAAAAGGAATTTATTTTAAATATACGATGCATTACATGGTAAATTCACTACAAGGCTATTGAAAACTTTGTAAACAGAGTTTCCAAAACCTCACCCATGTAGCAAAGATTCGATATTTTATTTGATACCAGGCGTTAGCATATTTATAGACCTTCAATGAAGTTGACCCCGGTGTTCTTCAACCAAACATCACCTTGAATGAGTTGTTTTACAGTGAACTGGCTGGCCTGGGCTGCGGTTTGGATTATGTGGTAACCAGTCCAATTCACTCTTTGACTGGTACCAGCACCTGGTCCTCTGTTCATGTACTCTCCATAATATAAGGTTTCCAAATAGTCTTTGTGTTTCTCATCCCATTCTGACCATCCTGCTGGGTCAATGTGCTTGTCCAGAAACGACTGCATCACCACAGTTCTAGAGAAGTTCTGCCAGGGGCGACCCAGAAATGTTTGGAAAGAGTCTATGACGGGCGTAAGATCCGCACTGGGGGACACATAACATTGTTGAATTGAAGTTCCAGTGTTTTGGTTCGGATCTGTTCGTCCTTGGGCAGTGACCATGTTTTTCTGACTACGCATGGGCTTTCGGACCTCCAGCCTACAGTTCTGGAAGACAACAGCTGCGTTTCCGAAGATGAAGTCGATGGTGCCTGTGACGAAGGAGTCACGGTAAAACTGTCTGTTGGAGTGGGCGTAGAGAGTGTCTTGATACGCGTCCATGCGACAACGATTTATCACCGATTGATCAGCGCCCACGCGAAGAGCCACTGCCTGGTGCTTTTGTGGGCCTGCTGTATTTTGAAACCAAATGTCCTGGGCTATGAATCCATCCCCAACCGCCGCTGCACCCACCAATTATTACCAGGTTAATGTTGTTTGAAAACCACCGTTCTCGTACGCAACTATTAGACAAATCCAATGTAAACCTTTGTTTTTGTCTTAAAAGAAAGAAGCTAGACAATATGCCAGAGCCAGAGTGAACAGAGAATGAGTTGTGGTAGGTCCTTACCAACCGTAGCAGTCCTGAAGGTGCCCGTTCCGTCGACGTAATTCAAGCTTCCGGTGATTATAGTATTATTCATGCTGTCACCCACCAGCATCACGTTCTTCTTTTTCTTACCGATTTCAACGTTCTCTTCGTATGTTCCGTTTCTCACATGAATGACATACCTCTTCTTGCTCTTGTCCGGTGCTGATGCCACAGCTTCCGCAACGGTCTCAAAGTCACCACTCCCGTCCTTAGCCACCACGACATTGGCCTTGATGTCTTCAGCGGAAGACTCTAACAGCTTCCGATCCTTGCTTGTTACCCATCTGGGAAACTCCCCATTTAGTGACACATCGATCATCTGTTCAACCTTTCCATTTGGAGGCAAAACAGCAACAACCATGGCTAAAGAGGTTCTTGCTCTGGAGATCAAGTCCTCAAGCTCTGCCTCCATAAGCCTTCGACCTGCCTCCTCCAATCCATCCAGGCAAGTTACATGATTCGTGAGCACGCTGCTGAGCCAAGTGTGTGCATCTCGCAGCGAATCAGTGGTCTCTGTAGTTAGACTCATCTTTGAGTCCCAAACTCTGTCCATGGACAACTCCATCAGCTCCACGCAGTCCCGCAAGGCAGCTTCTTCTCTTGGATTGTTCATCCTCACCTTGATAGCATTGGCTGCCTCCTTCACCCTCTCAAAGTGTGAGGTGGATTTCATCAAAAAGGCTTGGAGCAAACCGAGTTTGTGGTTTTGTGTGGCAGTTAAGATCGGATCTTGAACCACTTCCAAGACATGTGCTAAGCAGTTTGAAGTATCAACTGCATGCTGACAAACATGGTGAGAGATTGTGTGGTTGAGGAAGGAGGTGGGTTTTATGAGATAAGATGCAATAAGAGCTGATGAAGTCAGCACAACAGCTACAGAGAGGATTAAGCATACAGTTCTGGAAACGGATTTTCTAGGGTTGTCTAACAGAGATTGGTGTGTGGCCATGTTGCTCAACGTGGTTGCTCTTGCTTATCTGTGTTTGCTTCACTCTCATTTTATAATCAAGAAGGTTTTGTGAAATTGAAAATCACATTTCATGGACAACAAATATCCCTTGCAGAATACAGTTTGCATAATGTCGAGAATCTTTGTCTTTTCTCTTTTTCAGGACACCACGTTATCTGTCATGAAGGTGGGGACATGCACATTATCTTGTTATATTGGAATCAGAGTTGATTTTGTTTAACCACTATCACTTAATTATATGTAAACTCATTAATTTTATACAAAACTTCACCTTCTTAACTAAAGCTCTTATTTGTCTATATTATTATTTTTTCTTAAATTTGTCATTACTATTTTATTACACCTCTATCAATTAATTATGCGTGAATCATAAATTATAGTAAAATATGACATATAGGGACAGATTCAGGAATTAATTTAGACTGATTGCATGAATATAGCATGTTTAAATATTAAATGCTTCATATGTGAATTAACCAAGTGAGTCTAACATGTTATTTTATATCATAAATTCATTTTTTAAATTATTTACTTTGTTTTAAATAGCTTTTAAGCTGGATGAACTTGAGTTGTATATTTTGATGCTAATTTGAGTTTTTTTAAAAGATAAGAGTGTTATATTATATAAATATATCTTGATTTTTTATTTATTTATATTTTAACTTAATGGTTAAAACTTTTAAAACTATTAAAAGTAATTAAATACCTACAAAGAAACCTAGTTACATGTACTTGATTAAAAACATTATTACATTTCTTAAATTTTTTAAACACCTACAAAGAAATGGTAGAAGTAATTACTAATTTAGAATATGTGCATTGCTTTTATACAAACTAAAATTAATTTCTTGTTGAACGTTGATCAAATTGGATTAATAAGCAAAGAAATACAAATTATTTGGTTCATAGTTGTTAACTCCTGTGAGTATTTTCGTGTTTAATTGGTTAAGTTGTTAATCCGAACTTATCAAACTGTACAATTTGTGTGTGTTAAGTATGTTTTTAGTATTTTTAATTAAAAATAGTTCATTTGTTTCACATAAAAATGATTTCTATATTTTTGAAATGATTGGAATAGGTCCTTATCTTAAACGACGTTAAATATATATTAACCTGTCTAATAAAGATAAGCATAACTCATTCATTATTTGACACGTGTAATTATTTAAAAAAAAAACAAACAAAGTTCTTCTTAAAGAAAATAGAAATTATTCAATAGATATTATTATTTAAAAAAGAAAACAAAAAAAGTAGAAAATTTTCTTTTCTCCTCACGTACCAAAACTCTTAGTTCTCGTCACAACCACTTTTCATTTTCTCTTCTTTTCTCATCACATCTACTTTTTATTCTCTCTTCTTTTCTCGTCACATATAATTTTCGTTTTCTCTTCTTTTCTCGTCACACATCAAAGATCTTTTATTTATTGCATTTTCTCTATAAAGATTGTATGAAGTCAAAGTGACTTTGAAGTTTGAGGGTTCCATCGGTTCGTTGTTGCTCGACTGGCGAGTGTGACGGTGGTGCATAACTAGCAGTGCAAGCTGTGGTATACCATAGCTAGAGTTTTCTTTTTAAATAGTTTTTAAATGTTATAAATACATATTTAAATGACTTTTAAAAGCTTAACACCTTTTAATTTTATTAAATTTTATTTTTTTAAAATAATTATATATGTCAAATAATGAATGAGTCGTACTATTTACGTTAGACAGGTTAACATATACTTAACGCTGTTTAAAATAAAAATCTATTTCAATCATTTCAAAAGTATAATGATCATTTTCATGTGAACCATGACGAAGGGACTATTTTCAATTTTACATTAAAGTATAGGGACTAAAATTAAACTTTTTTTTTTTTTACTCTGATTGATGTAATTTATCATATCATTCTTTTAAAAAAACTAAAAAAACTAGTCCTTCAACCAACGTATGTCTCTTATTTTTAGTATGTTCTTAATTAACTTTTATCTCATTAAATATAAACTTGCCAAACCAATTATTATTTTATTTTTTTAATAACAATACACAATAAGAATGAGTTAATAAAACATAAATACAGGAATATAAATCAAACGACTCAATACTTAAATTTGTTAGATATATAATTTAACACTATTATGAAACGGCACGAATATGGGAAAACATGTAAATAGATGTATAATTATTTTTAAATAATTTGGATTGAAAGTTAGCACATTTTTTATTTTATTTTTGTAAAAGCAAATATTTTCACTTAACTAAAATATTAAATGAACTTTTAACTAACATTTAGTTAGAACATCTCCAATTGTGGGTTCTTATAAGAACTCACCTTGAATTTTTAAGTGAGACCAAGTGTTATATTATATATAAGCAATTCTCTGTAAATTTTTACAAATTTATTAAAATTAAAATTTAAAAATTTATATTTTAGTCAAAATTTATGAAATTAAAATTATTCTTAAAAAATTAATATTATTTAAATTAATATTTTATAAAGGTTATTTTTATTTATATTAATATTTGATGATTTTGTTTTATTTAATTATATTTTATGATAAAAAGTTATGAAAACATATATTTTTTTAAAAATTATTGAAAATAAAATAAAAAATATCTATAAACACTGTATAACAAAATTAAGAATATTTGTTAGATAAATGACCCAAATATTTTCTTGAAGCCCATATCAACTCACCCTATTGGCATCTAAGAAGGACATTATTACTTACATCCCTTTGAAGGACATTATTATTAGGTTTTCGAAAAAGTTAGGCAGCTTCGTGATAGAAAAAAGAAGTTGAAAAAGACATTGCAATGCATTCACACAACCTCACTTGCATGCATCACTTTCTCTCTGTATACCAACATTTTTCTTTTCTTTCTTGTCGTTTATTATATACATCAAATCAAATTCGACTCTTACTTTCAAATTGTCATTAGACAAACAGTAACAAAAAAAAAGCCTTTAGTTTTATGTACTACATCTAAATTTTATAGTTAATTTAATTTGGAATATTTTTAAAATAGAATAAATTTTAAAAATGATAAAGAGAACTCATTAAGAAGTATTTATTATTTTGAAGTTAATAAAAAATATTAAAATCCTAAATAATTGAACTTTAAAAGTTATTAATTTTGTTTGTGAGAAGTAAAATTAAAAAAGAAATTATAATATTTGGTGTTTATTTGTTCTTTTAAAACGATAAAGGTGATGAATAGTTGAGGAGCTTGTACAAACAGAATAGCAGAAGGAAATCTATCTTTGCAATCATGATTCAGTGGAAAAAAAACAAAAACAAAATCATTAATAATTTGAAGATGTGATAGTGGAGTAGCGTAATTTCAATTCAACCACAACTTTTTTTCCCACTTACAGTGAGCATTATCCAGTATGAAGAAATATCTCCCCATAAAAAACCATGAGTTAATATACACTGGACAACAAACTCCACCAGCCACTGTTCTTTTATTGGGTCAATTTACTACAACTTTCACTTCACAATTCCTGTGAACTCCAACTTTAGCAAGGAAATTAATGAACGTACAACTGAATCACACTTGAAAAAATAATAATAATGACACTTGAATGCTTAAGAAAAATGTTTTTATTTTCATTTTCTATTCTTACATGTGAATTATAAAAAAGTATGGAGGTATGTTTTTCATCATGCATATTCTTTTATCAGTTTTTATCAACTAATTAATTTGGAATATCTTTTGTAGAATATTAGTAACACCGTGAGTCATTAAAATGATATTGGGATTTGATAAGAGGTTTCGGTCTTATAAAAATAAAAAATATTATTTTAATTTAAATTTCATGTTTAAGTTATTTAAAAGTAAAATAAAAATTAAATTAAAAGCACTTGGGTGGGAAGTGACAGCAAGTTTATTTCACGTAGGAAAATATGAAACGTGACATAGGACAGGGTGGCTACAAGTCCACACAAACTTGGTAGAATCAAAAAGTTCAAACCTAGTACCGTGCCACATACCAAACATTTTCTATTTTAGAGGCCTTCAATGAAGTTGACCCCGGTGTTCTTCAACCAAACATTTCCTTGGATGAGCTGTGTTACAGTGAACTTGCTGGCTTCTGCTGCAGTTTTGATGATATGGTAACCAGGCCAATTCACTCGCTTGCTGGTTCCAGCACCTGCGCCACTGTTCATGTATTCTCCATAATACAAGGTTTGCAAAAAGTCTTTGCTCTGGGCATCCCATTCCGCCCATCCTGATGGGTCAATGTGGCTGTCCAACGTTGATTGCATCACAACAGTTCTGGAGTACTTCTTCCATGGCCGGCCTAGGAAAGTTTTGATGGACCCTACCACGGGTTTAAGATCCGAACTTGGTGTTAAGTTACATTGTTGAATCGAAGTTCCTGTGTTCTGGTTTGGATCTTCTCGTCCTTGGGCCGTGACCATGTTGTTCTGGTTATTCATGGGCTTTCGGGCCACCAGGTTGCACTTCTGAAACACAACAGCTGCGTTTCCAAATATGTAATCAACGGTGCCAGTGATAAAGGAGTCTCTGTAAAACTGCCTGTTGGAGTGTGCATAGAGAGTGTCTTGGAAGGCATCAATGCGACAGCGGTTTATGACGGATTGATCTGCACCCACGCGAAGAGCCACTGCTTGGTGCTTCTGTGGGCCTGCTGTGTTTTGGAACCATATATCTTGACCTATAAATCCATCCCCCACAGCAGCTGCAAAACCATACTACTAGTTAGTGTTCAAATTTTCAAAATCTACTTCCACTTTTACAAGTCACAAACCAATGGGCCCTTTTAAGCCTTTGGCACCTTGTTTTAGACTAAAGCATGCGCATATTTTTCCTCTCTTCTCTTTTTCTCCAAACAAGAGAAATAGTTGAATAATGTGCCTGCTGCTGCTTCATTATTTTAACCAACAAAGTACAGATTTTAAAATATAAACGCCGATCTGTATGCGATTAAAAAACTATATTATTACCCGTACTCGATTGGCATCATTCAAGCAATAAGAACAAAGATGTTATAATTTATATAAACATGATGTGTAGAATAAAATTCGGTAAAAACATTCTAGTGGGTAGAAGAAAGATCCATACCAACAGTGGCAGTCTTGAATGTGGTCGTTCCGTCAACAAAATTCAAGCTGCCAGTAATTACAGTTGCATCCATACCATCTCCAACGAGCATCACGTTCGTCTTCTTCTTACCAATTTCAACATTTTCTTTATATGTTCCCTTTTTCACGTAAATAACATACCTTGTCTTACCGTTATCAGGTGCAGATGCCACAGCCTCAGCCACAGTCTTAAACTTGCCACTTCCATCCTTGGCCACCACAACGTTGGCGTTGATGCCCCTAACGCTAGACTCCAAAAGCCTCCTATCCTTGCTGCTCAACCATGAGGGAAACTCTCCATTCAGTGGTTCGTCAATGATCGGTTCAACCCTCGGGGGCAAAACAGCAACAAACATGGCCAGAGTGGTTCTTGCTCTGGATATCAAATCCTCAAGTTCAGCCTCCATAAGAGCACGAGCTGTCCCCTCTAAACCATCCAAACAAGTTGCATGGTTAGTGAGCACGCTACTTAGCCATGTATGTGCATCTTGCTGTGACTCAATGGTTTGTTTTGTGAGAGTCAGCATTGAGTCCCAAACTCTGTCGATGGATAAGTCCATGAGCTCCACACAGTCGTGCAAAGCTGCTTCCTCTTTGGGACTGTTAATCCTAAGTTTGATGGAACTGGCTGTGTTCATGGCTCTCTGAATGTGTGAGGTGGATTTCATTAAGAAAGACCGAAACAAATTGAATTTGTAGTCTTTCGTGGTGGTCAAGATCGGACCATGAACCACTTCCGAGACATGTGACAAGCATGATGGCTTATCAAGTGCATGATGACATAGATCTTGAGGAGAGGATTGGTTAAGGAAGGAGGTGGATTTGATGAGATAAGAAGCGAAAAAGGATGATGAGCATATGACAGCAGCAACAGAAAAGATTAAACAGATAGTTTTGGAAACAGAATTTTTTGGTCTCTCTATCAGAGATTGTTGGATGGCCATATTCTTACTTGAGTGTTACTGGGCGCTCTTTGTGACTTTGGTTTGGTATGCATCATTGTCCTTATATAGCCCAAAAAACTTGTTCCAAGGCTCATGAGATGTAATTAAAAATTGTTATATTTTATATTATTCTATTGATGAAAATGCAAGGTCTGTTTCCGGCTTTCACATAAAGGGAAGATTCAGAGAACCGGTGAGAAAGTAGGAATACAGTTTCTAAAGTTTTTGTTAACTTTATATAAATCAAAGTAAGTAAAAGAGTGAATAATCATTCGTAAGTTTCTACTCCCTCACTTACTTTTTTATATTTTAATAAAATAGTTATATAATTTTATATTTTATGTCTTTGTCTCTCTATCCACATATATATAAATTATTTAAACATTAGAAAAAATATATAAACATAACCAATTAAAAATAAATATGATTTTAAGCTTTATAAATGAAAAATAAATAAAAATAAATTCATAATTTTGATATATAAAAGATAAAAAAATATAGCTGTATAAGCTTCTTAGTCAATAATGTCTCCTTTGTACTCAATGATTCCACAGGATATTCTTTACTGATAAATAAATACTTCAACGACATAAATAAGGACCAGTTTTTTATACTTATTATCCAAAATATACAATTATAAATAAAATATTAATAATATGATTTAAAATAATAAAGATTATATATTTTCAAACAAATAACTCTCAAAAAGTATTCCTTTATTTAACATATATACTCATATATATTGATTTATTATAAGGTCCAACAATTGCATGTGCAGTTACACTTTCTACCTTACTGTTAATCTTTTAAATAAAGTATACCATTTGGAATCACGTGTGTATATTTAGTTTTTTATATTTGCATGAGTCATAATTAAAAAAAATAACTTTTATTATTATTATTGATAAAACAATAACTTTATTATTATATAAAAAGAAAGAAAGTGAAAGACATAATTGCACCGACGCTATATTTAATTTCACCGTAGTTCATTGCACCTCATCTTTCCCATTACTTTATTATTATCTTAATATCTATAAAAGATTAGAATATGATAAGCTTAAGATGAGGATATAAGTAAAAAGTTTCCAAATTTAGAAAACCCTTCCTTCAAAATATACTTTAGATGTGTTCCGATAATTTAGACTCCAACTTATCTCATTAATTAATTGTCAATTAACTATTAAAAAATTACAAAGAATATTAACAACACTCTAATGCAAACATTTTTCTTTATAAGTTTTTTTTTTAATTATAAAACTTAATAAATATTGTAACTTATTATCACTCTCTTAGTTTTATAATTTTCAATAACTTTTAATAGTAAAAAATATCTTAAAAAATTATGTTCCTCACACTCTTCAAGCTACAAATTTAATATCATCGATACATCTATTCTATATATATAATTTAAAAAACATGTGTCGCTGTTGCAAAAAAATATATATATATATAATGATTACTATCACCAGCATTTTATAATATAGGATGATTATCTCTTGGTAGGGTTACCAGGATTTTATTATACATATATACACACACCTTCGCACTTTTTACATCTAACAATGCTCAGCATTATATGCTATAAACATTTTTATTAATGTCTTGTGTCTTGTGCCTCATAACATGGTGCATTCAATTTTTTATTAGTGTCTTGTGTCTTTTCTAAGGTGCAATTGGATTTTTTATTTTTATTTTTATCACCCATTATGTCTTACTCTTATTTGAGAAATTCTTTTGCTTACTAGATATAATCATTACAAGAAATTTTAATATTACTGAACGTCAAAATTCGTCGATAATAACAAAAATTCGTCGGTAAAATTCATTTGTCGATAGATTTAAAAGTTTGTCATTAAATATTTTACGAAATTACCGACGGACAAGAATCCGTCGGTAATATTTTTATTATTTATTAAATATTTTACTTATATAACCCCTTTCTTTTATATTTTTATTATTTATTATCAATTATTTTTCTCTATTACATTTTTATATGCTTTAATTATTATTGAATTAAGAGAATTGTAATTGGTAGAGACTGATACTCTAACCACTAAGCTACCAAAATTTTTTGATAATAATTTACAAATAAATTATATTTATATACAAATATATTTATATATTTATATATTTATATTTATATTTTTATATATTTATATTTTTATATATTTATATTTTTATATATTTATATATTTATATTTTTATATTTTTATATATTTATATTTTTATATATAATTAAATATTTTTATATATTTATATATAATTAAATATTTTTATATTTTTATATATTTATTTTTTAAAATTATTTAATTTAAGAAATTATTATAAATTAATCTAATTATGATTAAATTAAATTATTAAATAAAAAAATATTTAATTTTTTAATTAGGTGAATATTTACTAATTGTTAATTTACCGGTAATTTACAGATGAATTTACCGAACGGATATATTCGTCGATAAATTAACAATTTCCACAAATATTTTATATCCATCGGTAATAATTATTTTCCAATGATTAAAAATCCGTCGGTAAATATCTCGTTCGGTAATACGCGATTTTTTTAGTAAATGTTAAGAAAATTTGTCTTTTTCTATGAATTTTTGTTCAGTGTGTAAATATTAAAACATGCTTAATAATAAATAATAGAATATCTTACTATCTTTATTAAAAAATCATGTACAATGCTTGACAACATTAATTATAATTTAATTGATTAAATTATTTTTATTTGAAATCACATATCATTTCACTGATTTCATTAACAATGAAAGCATTTTTCACTGTGAATCATGTAAAATGATTAAAATGACTTGCATATATTAGAAAATTTAAGCAGATCTTAATAACAAAAATAATATTTATTCATCGTTACAATTTTAATATAATATTTATATTTTATAAAGTGTTCTTAGGACGTAATTATGAAACTATTTTTTTAATATATAAGGAATTCTTAGAAGAAAAAAATAAATTCTTTGAGATATGATGAGTAAGTATGATAACAATTTGTAATTTGTGTTAAAATAAATAACGTTATGTTTTACTAAAAAGTTAAATACTTACTCATATTTTTAAATCAAGACACACGTATTTCTATCATTTAAAAAAATATAATATCTATATTTATTGGGAAAATATATAACTTATTTATATAATAATGATACTTAGTAAACATGATGTTTTAGTACGCCATTGACTTATGAAGATTTTAAAATAATCCTTTCGAGAAATATTTTAATATACAAGATTTTATAATATTGTAAATTTATTTCTAATTCTCATTAGTATTTTAATATATACATAACTAAAGTAATTATTTTCTCAAATATATTTACTATAAATGTTTCTTAATTACTTCATGCACTTTATAAAAATACATTTTCAACAATAGTTTTGTATTTACATTAATGGTAAGTTCTAGGTTTAGATGAAAATATAATTATCTTCACATACATTAAGGGGGAAATTAAAAATAAAACATTTTTTAAACAATACCAAATTATTTTTTGAAACTAAGGTAAAGTTAGTCAGATCGAAATCGAAATTACTTCAGGTGTGTTAGCTATTACTTTAGTTCTATTGTTTCACTTCAACATTTTATGGTAGAAACTATCCAATATTTCATATATAATCGAGTTTTTTTTTATTACATTTTCAAACATATGTCACTAAAGACTGCACACATCAGAAGTCCAACAACTAAAGAGTAAACCATATCAGAAGTGTTTTAGATTCAAAAAAGACTAAAGAAACTTCCTGCTAAAGAAAAAGTCCAAACGTGATTAAAACTCTTTTATTTAATTTCCTCTGAAAACCAGACACAAGAGATAGATACAAGCATTTAGAGGCCTTCGATGAAGTTGACCCCGGTGTTCTTCAACCAAACATTTCCTTGGATGAGTTGTGTTACAGTGAATTTGCTGGCCTCCGCTGCACTTGTGATGATATGGTAACCAGGCCAATTCACTCTCTTGCTGGTTCCAGCACCTGCTCCACTGTTCATGTACTCTCCATAATACAACGTTTGCAAAAAGTCCTTACTCTGGGCATCCCACTCGGCCCATCCTGTTGGGTCAACATGGTTGTCTATTGACGACTGCATCACAACAGTTCTGGAGTACTTCTTCCATGGTCGACCCAGAAAAGTTTTGATGGAACCCACAACAGGCTTAAGATCTGAGCTGGGCGTTAGGTTACACTGTTGAATAGAAGTCCCTGTGTTTTGGTTTGGATCTTCTCTTCCTTGCGCGGTCACCATATTGTTTTGGTTACTCAAGGGCTTTCGGGCCACCAAGTTGCACTTTTGGAAGACAACAGCGGCATTTCCAAAGATGAAGTCAATGGTGCCAGTGATAAAAGAGTCTCGGTAGAACTGTCTGTTGGAATGGGCATAGAGAGTGTCTTGAAAGGCATCAATGCGGCAACGGTTTATGACGGATTGGTCCGCGCCGACGCGAAGAGCCACTGCTTGGTGTTTCTCCGCTCCCGCTGTGTTTTGAAACCATATGTCTTGGGCTATAAATCCATCACCCACAGCAGCTACAAAGCCATATACTTGGTTAGAGTTCAAAATTTCAAAACCCATTACTTACTTTTACAAGTAATCACCAACGGACAATGAGATTGGGAAGATACATACCAACGGTGGCACTGTTGAAGGTTGTTGTTCCGTCGATGAAATTCAAGCTGCCGGTGATTATAGTTGCATCCATACCGTCACCCACCAGCATCACGTTTTTCTTCTTACTACCAATTTCAACATGTTCTTTGTACGTTCCCTTCTTCACATAAATAACGTACCTTGTCTGACCGTTGTCTGGTGCGGTTGCCACAGCCTCAGTGACAGTCTTAAACTTGCCACTGCCATCCTGAGCCACCACAACATTGGCCTTGATGTCCCCAACCACACTCTCCAAAAGCCTCCGATCCCTGCTGCTCACCCATGAGGGAAAGTCCCCATTTAGGGGTTCACCAATTGTTTGTTCAACCTTTGGAGGCAAATATGCCCCAGCAAACATGGCTAGAGAGGTTCTTGCCCTAGATATCAAGTCCTCAAGTTCAGCCTCCATAACACTCCGAGCCGCTCCCTCTAATCCATCCAGGCAAGTTGCATGATTAGTTAGCACGCTACTTAGCCATGTGTGTGCATCTTGTTGCGACTCAGTGGTTTGTTTCGTTAGAGCCAACATAGAATTCCAAACTCTGTCCAAGGACAAGTCCATCAGCTCCACACAGTCCCGCAAAGCTGCTTCCTCTCTCGGATTGTTGACCCTGAGTTTGATAGCATTGGTTGTGTCCTTGACTTTCTCAATGTGTGAGGTGTATTTTATTAGGAATGATTTGAGCAAATTGAATTTGTGGTCTTTTGTTGAGGTCAATGCAAGAGATTGGGTTACTTCCGAGACATGTGATAAGCAGGATGCAGTATCAAGTGCGTGATCACAGACATGGTGAAGGGAGAAATTGTTGAAGACAAACGATGGTTTGAAGAGATAAGAAGCAATAAAGGCTGAAGAGCTTAGAACTGCAATTACAGAAAGGAGTAAGATAGTTTTGGAAACGGAATTTTTAGGCTTGTCTAACAGAGGTTGTTGGATGGCCATACTTCAGAGTTTCACTGGCTTCTCTGGGTGATGCTATACTTTTCTTCCTTCTCCTTTATATAGCCCAAAAATTCTTGCATGTGGATATAAAAAGCTTTTCATAAGTTTTTGTCAATAATCACATAATTGTGTGCCTATTTACATTACACAGGGTTGTAATAGGATTGTATTGATTGTAGCGTCAATAATGTCACGAGATCCATTTTCTTTCTACTTACACTGGATTCCACAACGTATTTTTTTATTAACGGTACTCCATATAACAATAATACTAGGTGGAAGGATTCAATTCATATGATTAATGCTTACCATTAATTTAATGACATTGTCAAATTTTTAATTACATAGATAGATATTTAAAAATTTAGGTAATATCACCCCATCATAATGTTCTATTTTATAATAAGCTCCCAATTACGGCATGTGGAGTTTCACTTTCCGCCTTACAATTAATATTTTTCTAAAGAAAAGTTTGGCAAGTGGGGTGAGTGTTGTATGCATATTTTGTTTTAATATTTGCACCAGCCATAATTAGAGACACTATAATAAAAAGAAGGTAGAAGCACTACTACAAATAAAGCTTTCAACGTCGGTTCTGGAAGGCTTTCAACGTCGGTTTAATAACTGACGTTGTATCAGGCGACGTTGAAAGTCGTAACTTTCAACGTCGGTTCAAAAAAATCGACGTTGAAAAATACACTTTAGATAGCGGTTCTAACCGCTATCTAATGTCGACTTTAGATAGCGGTCTAAGGGAACCGCTATCTAATGTCGACTTTCAACGTCGGTTCTTAAAACCGACGTTGAAAGTATGATTTTTTAAATTAATAATTTTTATTTATTTACAACCCCTTTACCCCCCTTTTATTTATCTAGAAGTCTCCCTCTCTTCCTATTATATTTTTATTAGGTTCTCCATCTCTTTATATTATATTTTTTAGAAGTTTTTTAATTTTTAAGAGAATTGTCATTGGCAGGATTCGAACCCAAGATCTTTAGAGTTGGAGGTCGATACTCCAACCACTAAACTACTTGAATTTTTTGATAATAACTTACGAATAAATTATATTTATATACAAATAAATATATATCCGTGTAAATATATACAAATAAACCCAGTACTTTCATCTTCTTCGCACTGATAATCCTCCAAAATTTTGTGTTCTTCATGCTGACAGCCCTCCCAAATTCACCTTCCCGCTCACAATTTCACTCCCTCTTTTCAACCTTGTACCAGTAACTATCCACCATTGTTCGAGTTTAATCACCTTCGTCTCTCCAACCCCAATCCTCCACCCTTCTATTCAGACTTCCAAGATCTTTAACCCAAGCATGCATGACCTGACCTCAAGCTTGAAATCCAACCCAATGACCTTGAATCTCAAATCTGAGTGACCAAAACACCCAATCAAAACACTTTACAAAAATGTATATCAATTAAAACAGATTTGTTTTAACTGATACGTACGACAACGTTTATATCAATTAAAACACTTTACAAAAAATATTCTAAGTTGATTTAATCGATTGTTTCGTGATTCAATCGATTGAAATACTGCAAAACTTTCTCGTAAAACTTTTCAAGTAATTTTAACTGATAAAAATAAGTTTTAATCGATTAAAACGCTGTGCAGAAATTGTTTTAATCGATTGAAACGAGATTTAATCGATTAAAATAGTTCTGATCGGTCATAACCGCTATCTAAAATGTATCTCGCTTGAGCGACACCATTCTCGCTCGAGCGAAACGCCCCCTGCACAAAATTAGCATTCTCGGGTTGTATTTCGCTTGAGCGACACTAACCTCGCTCGAGCGAAATAAGGTTCTGATCGATCATAACTTGAAATGATCGATCATAAAGTCGACATTAGATAGCGGTTCCCTTAGAACCATTATCTAAAGTGTATCTCGCTTGAGCGACACCCTTCTCGCTCGAGCGAAAAGCCCCCTGCACAAAATTAGCATTCTCGGGTTGCATTTCGCTTGAGCGACACTGCCCTCGCTCGAGTGAAATAATATTCTGATCGATCATAACTTGAAATGATCGATCATAAAGTCGACATTAGATAGCGGTTCCCTTAGAACCACTATCTAAAGTCGACTTTAGATAGTGGTTCCTTTATAACCGCTATCAATAAGTAAAAATAAAAATAAAAAAAAGACTTTCAACGTCGATTCATCTAGAACCGACGTGGAAAGTGTTTTCTACGTCGGTTAACTAAGAACCGACGTAGAATGTGTCCAACATTCAGCTTTCAACGTCGTTTTTTAACCAACCGACGTTGAAAGTGTATTTAACGTCGGCTCAGCTTGAACCGACGTTAAATGGCGACGTTGAAAGCCTATTTTGTAGTAGTGAAGACATTATTGAGTACATGATTATATTCAATTCCACTTTCTTTATCCACTTGTCATTGCTACAATATTAAAATGGACTCTTGTCATTATCCACTCAAATTTTAAATAGTTTGTTTGGAGGAAGTTTCTTCATAACTATTTAAAAAAGAGAAAAAATAAATTTATTTTTATTATGAGCTAAAATTAACTTGTATATGATTCAAAATTAAATTTTGATAAAGTTCATCAACATAATTTTTATAACTTAATTTTTAATTTATCAATAGTTAGTTTTATTTTTTTTTCTCTTCTAATGAATTTATAAATATGTTTTTTCCAAACAAACTCAAAGTGCGAATTGAAAGTTTAATTTTGTGTTATAATACTATTTAACATAGATAATTTGATTTTACCACCACTTATATATCTTAAAAGATACATATATATTTATTTTTTTAAAATTACAAAATTACCAAAGAGTACTTGGTTATATGGTTAAATTATTTTACCAGTCTCTTAAATATACTAAACTTAAAAAAAAAAAAAAAGTTGTTAACTTGTGCTTTATTTTGTAATTAATTGCTTCATTTCATCTAAGTGTTGTGAGAAATATTAATTGTTTGGACTGAGTTATGGGAGTTTCATTAAGGTGGTGATTTAATATTGAAATTGAATGAAAATGTGAGAATATTAGTGAAAGAACTTAATTGACAATTTTTTTTTATTTTTTTTTAAGTGTTTATATTAGATAATATGTTTTGGCCCAGGTACATGACCAAAATTTTCACTAATACAGTAATTAAGCATGTTTAAAAAACTACCAACATGGGTATATTGGGCATCTTCATTTTCATCCCTAATATTCTCCTTCCTTGACCAAACATAGCCTCGTTTTGTTCACACACTACTTTATTGTGATAACCCTTGTATGATACATTAATTAAGCAGCACACAAGTTATCACTACTATATATTTTATTTGTTACTTATATATAAGGAAAAAAAATGTAAAAAAAAAAATCTTCTTAAATTATTTCTCTCCTCTTTCCAAATTAATTTATTTTACACACTATAATAAATAATTTATTTACTTGTAGAAATTTAGTTACAGAAATAAATTATTATTTATACATATCTTTAACTACCTATTAGTATTTTGTATGTAGGTTTATATCTACACATTTTTTTTACAGGTAAATATGAAGTACTTACATTAAGATTTGTTGGGTTCGTGAGTTCAGAATCATTTTTAAGGATATAATATATAACAATTGAGTCCACATATACAAATATTATCTATAGATGTAATAAATTATTTTATTAAAATAAAATATTACTACTCTAATTTTCTTGTACCTCTTCTCTTGTTCTCACGCATATATGTAAAACTTTTTTTCTACATTTATATCCTAATTAACCTCTCATCATTTCCCACAAATCTCTATTTAATTCCCAAATCAATCTCTTTTTGATTCCTCTCCATTCCCAAATCCAAAACTTAAACTTTAAAAATTTTGTTTTTTCAATTGTCAAGCATCACTTTTCAAAAAGTTTGTGTTGAATTAGACTAAGCTAGTATTATATCATCTTTTCAAAGCAATTAATGTTATCACGTTATTCTAGAACACTACGATAACAAATATTATGTAAAACATGATTTGATTTTGTTGGGTATATTTTATTTTTATCATGTTTTACTTTTTTTTCTTATCATTTATAAAATAATATACTTGTATGAATTTTTTTATCTTAATATAAATGGATTTTTTTTAAAAACTTGTTACAATTTTTTTCAATCCTAATAACAATAACAATATTTGTTATTTCCAACTTTAAGATGCTTAACTTAAATTTATTTTATAGATCTATGAGGTTTATTCTTTTATGAAAATTATCGTTGTATTACATATACTTTCTGATTAATGTATACTCCATAAAATAAACTAAAATCCTTTCCTTTTTTGAATAAATGTACATTTTAGTTCTAATAATGTCTAGTCCATATTTTAATATAGTTTTTCCTCCATTTTAAATAAATTAGGAAATAATGTCTAATTATACTATATATGCAAATTTGTTCAATATAAAAAAATTCTTAATAAATCACAACTATCCTTTACATAAATTTCTAATCCTAATAAGTATTTTGTTCCAAAATCATGTTTGATACTAAAAATTAAATTAAAGGTAACTTCATAATTTATAATTACTTTATTTATTTATTATTTTTAAATAAAATATTTTTTTTATGTCATTTTCTTTTTAGATAATTTTTTTATTTTTCTTTTCTTACAATTCAACCTACATTAAATTTTTAAAATAAACCCGACAATATAAAACTTAAAAAAAAAAAACACAATTAACTATTTTTTATATAATTTTTGAAAGATATTAGCCCACATGCCATTGCAACTTGTCCTGCGGCTCAACTAATTATATACCCGGAGGTTTTTTTTTTTTTAACGTTTTAGTTAGTGTACTGCACTTTATTTTAAAATAAAAAATTATCATTATAATTAATTATTATAAAAGATACGTAGAATCATTGTTAGGGTATGGTACTGATAAATAAGTGTTCGTAATAAAGTTTAATTATCCTTTTGAAAAAAATATTAAGTTAATGTTTTAACCTCTCAATTTTGACACAATAATTTGTTAGTCTCAAATAATTTATAGAAATCACTAATAAATTGGCTTCTATCAAATATGTAATCTTTTTGAAAATTTAAATCTATTTGCTTCAGAATCACCTTAATATAATGTCACAATATACACGGATTTATCTTGTAAACACAATGTCAAATTAATATTAGATTTGTGGTTAGTAAATTCAACTAATATTTCATGGATTGTTTGACTCTTATATTTCATGGATTGTTAGATTGGTAACACCCTACAAATTTTCTTCTTTTTATTTCTGTATAATTTATTTTACACACTACAATAAATAATTTATTTACGTGTAGAAATTTAGTTACTGAAATAAATTATTATTTATCTACATATCTTTAACTACCAATAGTATTTATATGTAAGTTTTTATTATCTACACATTTTTTTTACAGGTAAATATGAAATACTTACATACTTATTTTCGTAAATTGAGAATATTTTTAAGAATATAATATATAACAATTGAGTCCATATAGATATTATTTATAAATGTAATAAATTATTTTATTAAAAAATTAAAGTAAAATATCAGTACTATAAGTTCTTTATACATCTTTTCTTATTCTCACGCATATATGTATAATTTTTTTTCTAGATTTATGTCTTAATTAACCTCTCACCCTAATTACCTAAAAATAAAAATAAAAATAAAACGTGAAGAAACAAAACCAACAATGTTTTTTTTTCTGCAAGTAACAACAATGGACTTATTTGTTACATACTAAAAATGTTATTGAGATCTAAAATAGCGGGTTAATTTTTTAGAGGTTTTAAAATTTTAAAGCTAACTTCATGTTTTTTTTATTCAAATAATAAAAATAAATTTTATGAAAAAAATTCAAAATGATTTTATTTTAAAAATTAAAACGAACGTGTGATGTTTTGAAGAAAGAAATTGTTTAAAAATTTGCTAAAAACAAACATTCCTTAATTGCATTGCCTCCATGGCCGGACCGTTGATACAACCAATGGATTTTAACTTCCAACGTCATCATTCTAGAAGCTACCTTGTTCCGCTCATCCTTACACGTGTCTCAATGTTATTGGCTTCTCATCTGGCCTAACGCCCTCACCTCAACATTTTTTTCCTATATAACACGCTCCAATCCCTTATCTTTTCCATTCCCAACTCAATCTTACTCATCATTTCCTTCATACAATCCAAGGTATGTTTCCCCTTTCTACCTTCTCTTAAATCTTTTCAATTTTTTAAGGTTTTGAGATCTATCTGTTATTCAATCGATTAGGTTTTAACTAGGTTTTAATTTAGGGGTAATTGTGTATGGTTCTTCGACCACGGATCTTATCGCTATTGTTTAAGACTGTTCGTTGTTGCCTTTTAAACGTGAAAATCTAAATGTTGTAGACGTTGTTGATATTTCAGGCTTCGAATTTTCAATTTTGATGAGTCAATTATTTTAATTAAGATCTTCAGTTTCTGTGTGAGTGTGTTTGTGGTGTTTTATTTTGAGTTCTACGTTCGGACACCATAGGTTTGTCAATTATTCTAATTAAGATTCTGATGTGTTTGTGTGTATGATGGTTTGATTTCGATTTTGATTCATCTTTTGGTTGGATATGATGGTGCAGATGCAAATCTTCGTAAAGACCTTGACTGGTAAGACCATTACCCTTGAGGTGGAGAGTTCCGACACCATCGACAACGTGAAGGCCAAGATTCAGGACAAGGAAGGGATCCCACCAGACCAGCAGCGTCTGATCTTCGCCGGAAAGCAACTGGAGGATGGGCGCACTCTGGCTGACTACAACATCCAGAAGGAGTCGACCCTCCACCTGGTCCTCCGTCTCCGTGGAGGCATGCAGATATTCGTGAAGACCCTCACCGGAAAGACAATCACCCTCGAGGTTGAGAGCTCAGACACCATTGACAACGTGAAGGCTAAGATTCAGGACAAGGAGGGCATTCCCCCAGACCAGCAGAGGTTGATTTTTGCTGGGAAGCAGCTTGAGGATGGCCGCACCCTTGCTGACTACAACATCCAGAAGGAGTCGACCCTCCACCTCGTCCTCCGTCTCCGTGGAGGCATGCAGATATTCGTGAAGACCCTCACCGGAAAGACAATCACCCTCGAGGTTGAGAGCTCAGACACCATTGACAACGTGAAGGCTAAGATTCAGGACAAGGAGGGCATTCCCCCAGACCAGCAGAGGTTGATTTTTGCTGGGAAGCAGCTTGAGGATGGCCGCACCCTTGCTGACTACAACATCCAGAAGGAGTCCACCCTTCACCTCGTCCTCCGACTTAGGGGTGGCATGCAGATTTTTGTCAAGACCTTGACTGGAAAGACCATCACTCTCGAGGTTGAGAGTTCTGACACCATTGACAACGTGAAGGCTAAGATTCAGGACAAGGAGGGCATTCCCCCGGACCAGCAGAGGCTGATCTTCGCAGGGAAGCAGTTGGAGGATGGGAGGACCCTTGCTGACTATAATATTCAGAAGGAGTCTACCCTTCATCTTGTCCTGCGTCTTCGTGGTGGTTTTTAAGTGCTGTTACTCCTCCTTCTATGGTGGTGTCTTCAAATTTCAAAACTGTGTATGGGTCTCTGTTGGCCCGTTAAATAAATTTGGTTTATTTGATTGTGTTGTAAACATATATGTAATATCGACTTCATCATCTTCGAAATTTAATGTATAATATTTGGTTTTTCATACTTTGCGGCAATGACTGGTAGTTTGGTTATTCATATTTGAATTACAAACTCGGATGGAAATAAGTTATATAAATTACAAAACAATATTGCACGTGATTCTTCTCAACTCAATCTTATAAATTACAAAACAAAATAACAGAATTGAATCATGAGATTGCAAATGATTGAGCTAAAAGGGGTTAAAACAAGAAAATTACACTAATTTAGAAATTACACGTTCACACCAATATTGTACAAATGAAAACAAATAAACACTGGTCAAATAAATATTTTTATGTCCAGTCCTTAAAAATTTAACAAAAAGGGAACCGAAGTCTCTTGTTCTATCAATTAAGAACTATCTGTAAAGAGTTAACTTTAAAAATAATTGGCATAAGCGTAATGTTTAAGAAGTTCATAACGAAAATTGACGAAAATATTTGGCTGAAATTAAAATATTATGAAATAAAAATAAAGTTAACAGTTTGTATAAAGAAAGATAAGAGGAGATTGAAAGTACTCTTGTCTCATAAAACTATTGTATTTTAACTTTAAAGCAATAGAATATAGAACAGTATCGATTTAGTATAAGACAGGTTATTTAAAGGAACAAACATCAAATTCATTCAGTACAATCTACCAAAGGAGGTTTCAATACCTTTGAAAGAAAAGTAATTTGAAACAAAGAATTCTCTTAAATCAAAGGAAGCAACACTCAATACTTGGTATATTTTACTCCAAAACAAATCTTAACCCTAATTTTTCTGACAAGAAAATAAAACATATGGAATGAAAATGAGACACCTTTGTCCCATGCACAAGGAAACTCGGTTGCAAAAACCACCGTGCCATTATCCACAACACAATGAGAGGAGTCCAATTGATATGTACACTGTGAATGCCATCAATGTTTATATGCTCATATCCGTGGCCAAACTTGACCATATACATCTTTATTTTTATATTGCCGGTCCCAAGACCAGGGGACATCTGCAGAGGGAAATGATATTAATTAGAAGATAAGTTGCAGGTGACAACAATCAAGTCACTTAAACATGCGAGAAACAGCTGATTGACCTTGGGAAGAATAAGGCAGGGGAGGAAGCTGGTAAGGCAAAGGTAAAGGGATAATAACATGAGATGGTGAATGCATACTCTCCCTTTTCTGCCCAGTTAGGGTTACTAATTTTGTTTTCTTCATTTCAGAAGATTCATGGACTGGACATTTACCCTGCAATTCTTAGTTTGTTAGCATGAGTCTCCTCTCCACTTTGAAGTTAAATCATGCGAAGAATAAAGACCATGAAAGAGCAAGGATTCGCTACCTCAGATAGTGCAACATTACTTGTACAGGAAAATACAGATCCTCGTCGTTTGAATGATGATGGTAAAAATAGCACTCCCAGCTGAAAGGAAATGTACTTATTGTTTAGTGCAACCTCAAGAGAACTAGATAAAATGTATTTTTACTGCAAATGCCTATGTACAATAAGAAACAAATTAACAATAATCAGAGAAACACTCTTCTTGGCATCTTCAGATTATTGAATGTTGTTAGATAAGGCTTGGTTGACCTCACCAATTTTTTGGTCTGAACTGCCAGATAAGAACACCAACAGTCAGATAACATCACATACCTCATACGAACGAATCATCAGCTGAGTGTTATTCTTCTGGAGAGCTCCCCAGGCAGCTTTACTAAGATTTGCCGAAGTAAGCAAGAACCAACTATTTGGGAAGAGGGTGTTTCCACAGTTAACTATCTATAGCATGACTTTAGCAGTGTAGTGCGTGACTAAAATATTCAACAAACATAAAAGCTGAAGTGCATATAATAGGTCTGATGGAGCTCTTACGCAAGACTCTGATTATTATAACGAGCAAAAGTCTTTATATGCGGCATTGCTCGGCTGAAACATAGCATACATAGGCATAATTGGTGAGACGAAGTAGCATTTATGTAGAATTAAAATTTGAGGCAAATTTGCATATATTTCTAATAAAAAAATTTGATGCATATTGAAAATAGCCAATGCAAGTGCCAAGTTTTCGTCTAGGGGGTTATGGATAAATCAAAGTGCAACGAGGCTTAGAAGACAATTATGACTTGCTGATAATCCTGTCACAGTGACAAGTTAGGAAAGGGGTGAGAAGAGGGGGCTCTAAGTAATATTTTGCAAAAAAGGTCAATGCACAAAGAGCAGAGCAAAATTCCTCATAAAAGCAACCAGTTTCTTCAAATTCAATCACTGGATTGCAAAAAACTATTGTATGACTGGTATAATTCCAAGAGAATGTAAACACATTAAATGCTAAAAGTTTAGAATAATTGGTAAGCTAAGGGGTATTGAATTTATTGTACGATGAGATATACTTACCAGCGACCAGTATGGTCTGCTTTCCATTTTGCCCAATACTTCTTTAAAAATGCTTTCTCCACATTCTTTAGAGGACTTGGAATTGCACTTCCAGCTGCATAGCCCTACAGAACAAATGGAAGGCAAAACTTATCAATAAAGTTGCACTTAGAAATTCAATTATGAAACAGACCTACATGAAAAAGCGCTAAGATAAAACAAAAATTGACCTGAACAAGCATGAGAAAAAAACTAAGTAGAGTAATCATATTATAAGTCTAAATAGTCATTCTTGCCAATGAACTAATTTGATAGCCCAGTAACACTTGTAATATTTATATCAGTTTATAACCACTAGTTAAAGTAGAGAAGGAAAAGCATTGATCTCAGAACCAACAACTCTAGAACGCCCGTAAAATATTTATAAGGATCTGGGCTTTATGCTATTCACCCTATTCCATACTCATAGGACATACCTATATATTAATAGACTTTTATATATAACAATTACAGTTATTTAAAGTGCATACCCAATTTCCAATATAGTACACTTTTGAGCTCTTTCTATCATTTTTCTTGTAAAAAACAAACTACACTTTTCAGCTAATAGGAACTGACTCAACTGAGTAAATGAGTCCATGTCTAACTCTATTCAGGAATTAAACGGGTAAATCTAGGGGCTTCTACTCTTCTACATGTTAACGGGCAACCTACCGTCTGGGTATTAGTCACCCTGCCCAATATCTATTGTCATTACCAAGTGAAGCAAAGATATAACTGATCCAGATTTATATTCAAAAGTACAAGAGAGATTTATTAAACATGCATCGCTTTATTCAAAAGGTTCTTGACCTGATAAAAATATGCTAGGCACGTGACATATCAACAGATATTTAATTATGCTCTAAAATAACATTTAAGTAGATCATCAAATGCAAATCAAAGGTAATTTTTTTTATCAGAAAGTAAAAAATACATCTCCGACATCTACAGCTTTACCTCTAATGAGCATCTGACATCTTCTACAGTAGGCCATATGATTTGAGGCTCCCCCAAACCAAGGGGTGTTTTGTCTTCAGAGAGACCTGCTGACATTGATGATGCTAGCTCAGTCATCCATTTTTCATCCAGAGAGCCAAGGGAGGAGAACTGCAGTAGATATAAGCCAAGGTCATCAACAAAATTGTAAATGATAGACACTGCAATTTTCTAAAATTTGTCTTGAAATGATACATTCTAGGTAAAACTGTACTACCATAAATTTAAGACAATCAAATGAGAGAAAATGTAACAATAGTGACATAATTTAACATGAACTTTTTTATTTAATGCTGGAGTTATTAGATTAACAAGAACCAACTGCACCTAAACAAAGAGTATAATGCAACCTATCCTCCAGCCAAACTGTACCTGATAAACAAGTGGAGATTTCTTAAACTCTTCATTAAAAGTACACTCCTGGAGCAGAGAACGCAGCTTCATATGTCCCCACTTTTTCAAACTAGTACCAGAATGATATCCAGGTACAGATGCAATTAATCTAACCTGAATAGAATGCAAAACAGCATTATATGTCCTGATGTACAGTGTATCTGACAATGTAACAAATTTTACGATGTAATAATTAATAACATTTCAATTAAAAAGGACATCATTTATGAACAATGAGTGGAAAAATACCCTTGCATCACTATAATCAAACTTCCTGAAGAAAGATGGACATATACTGACACTTCCAAGGGATGGAAGTTTAACCGAGAACTCTGGCCACTGAAACACCAAATAACTTAATGTTACGCATAATATAGTGCCTATAAAAAAAATGCATAATATGAATAGTAGTAGTAGCAACACTAATAATTCCAGTCAATCAATAACATCAATATACACATCAGTTGGAAACTATTTAGCTTTAACAGCCCGTATATACTCTGACTGGCAACAAGTTTTTATAATAATCTGTAAAAACTTTTAACAATTGAATTTTCTAGAATAATCCAACTGTCTAGTAATTTGGTACAGGTTACTTCAACTAGGTTTTTGAAGAACTATTAAGCATAAATTTTATCTTATCAACTTGGCATTGTTTATTAGTTTCTCTCTATATAAATGAACAGTACCTATCATTACCTTCAACATACTGAGATATTCAACCAGGTCATTTTCAAATCCAGATCCCTTGCTTGGACTATTTTGATCTTTCCATGGAAAATCTTGCATCCACAAACCTTGGCTTTTATTGTTCCAATCTACATAAATTAAGTTCGCTGTATGCACAATGACTCTCACTCCTTGAGGATATATAAGCACCATGGCCTTTGAATGGTGTGTCCCAAATGAAATTGGCAATGATGGTTTGTGCAGAATCCACTTTGCAGGTTTGCTTCTCTAACAACCAGAGAAGTAGCATAGCAAGTTAATATCTTTCATCGAATTTTACATATTCAATCTTGCAAATAACTAATCAAATAAATTAAATGTGAGTTAAACCTTTATGTAATCTACCCTGCCATCACTTTCCCCGTGAATGACTAGCACATGGGGCACTTTTGAAAGTGCAGGACATGCTACACCAGGAAAATATAGAAAGGGAGATAATAGAATGAGACCAACAATGAGAGAAACATAATAAAAATTGTTCACGTAAGCACAAATTTCAGAACACCGGCATGCCACAGTCTATGGTTGCGCTTAATTGAGACATAAACAGTTGGATTGCCCCTTTTGGATATGTAAATATGTAATGTAATGCTCTCTATAGAAACACAAAGCATGAACTAATTCAGTGGGAGCAAGAGGAGCTGGAAAAAAAGAAGAATTAACAGCGGAAAATCACAAATGTTCCCAGCAACTTGAAAACGTGACAAAGAAAGATTAATGTCAGAATATTTTTAAATAAGTACAGAATCTCAGTAGTGTCAAGGGAAAAAACGATTCAGACTACAAACAGGTAAAATTTGCGAGAATAGAAAGGGAAAAGCAAGGAAGAATTCAAAAATCCAAACAAAAACTCACCAGGAATCAACCAGTCAATGTCTACCATGTAGTTTGATAGAATAGCAACTAGAATATCCCCCTATCAGTGATAAGCATTAAAATAAAATCAATGAGGAGTTCCATTCTTTTCTAGTTAAATATACTGTGCAGGTCGAGTTGTGAATTGTGCAAAATTATTAAATTATTGAACCAATGATTGAAGCAGAAAATATTTCTTCTCAACTTTGTAGCATTGCATAATTACTCTCAGCCATAGTTGAAAACTGAAAACATTCAATCAAGTTTTACCATGTTGGACAAAAAAGTTGCTTTATAGTTCAAAATCCCCATTCAAGCGGGCAATGCAAGAACAAGTTAAATTCTGGAATACAATTATTCCTACCTACCTGAATGACATCACCTATAGAAACACAAGAAATATTCGCCCACGGTGGTAACCCTTGCACACGCAAAAGTCGAAAAGTGGAAGGTATTTGGTCATTAGGGACATGGAAATTACGAATGGCCTCCACACTACTGTCTTCACTCGACTGTGAATCCACAGACTTCCTTGTGTCTGCATTTCTGACTTGTTTCTGGCTGCATGTTTCAACTTTATCCTGCAGATTCCACACCAAGCAGAAAAAAAAGAAAAAAGGAGCAGGATTAGCTTAATGCATGCACATACAGATGACTATGACACGAACACAAGCGTAAAATTTATGACCATGACGTAAACAATCATATACCCGTGAAGTCCTGCCTGAAGGTTTATTTCTAAATGATGATTGAGCTTCATTGTTTCTACCACTGGAAGATTTTCTGTCACCACCCAACACCTGATATTTAAAAAGATGGTGACCGGGAATGAGCTCGATTACATCACCATTACAAATTGTAGCTTCTTCTTTAGGATTCACCTTCCTTCTCTTATTCCCGGAATTAACAACTATTGGGTTTGTTCCCTCCTAACATTAACAGAGCAGAGGAAATCACGAATTGATAAAAAAAAAAAAAAAAAAAAGTAAGAAAGAGAAGAAGAAGTGAGTCATAAAGGTCAATACGACGAGCAAATTAGCGGAGCCATCGCGAGAAGCAGTTAAAGTGAGGTGCTTGCGGCTGAGCCTCTTGTCCGGAACAGGAATGTTGTCACGACCAATAACGTTTGTGCCATCGGAGATAGCTAACTTGGGAACTGAACCTTCTTCCTCTAGACTTTGATTCACCGGAATCAGGTATCCAACCTGAGACAATGACATTAATCTAATCGAATCAAATAGCTCGCAGCGTAACACCCTCACAATCTTTCACAACCCTCGAACGCTTCCTTCTTCCTGCTTATCAAACTCTCAAGAACACAACAGAGCCGAACCTTTACACTGGACCTTCTCTCAAATCCAAAGTCTTCCTTGAAAAGCCCAAAAGCCTTCGAAGTCGGTCCATGGCCCATACACTTTTTTAAAAACAAAAACCTAACCCACCTTTAAACGTCTTCTGCGCCCCCACGTAGTAGTAACAAGATAATTATTCTTTATCGGGTTTCGAATTCATCCTTTTGTAAGTTTTTCAATATGAGTTTTTTATAAATATTTTATACTAAACATTTAAAAAGTTATCTGAAAATATTATGGAATTCATTTCTCTGAAATATTTAAAAATATTGATTCTGGAACCTTTTTTTCAAAAAGGTTAATCTATAGAATATTTTCAAAAAATTCACTCTAGAAAGCATCCGAAATAATTGATCCAAAATAATAAAATTATATTTTAAATTTTATAATATAAAACCCACTCATGGTGGACACTAGAAATTATCAATTAGTGCTATTGCTTCTTTTACCCAGAATGTTCATCTTGATCCCTATAATTATTTAAAAAGACAACATTGTCTCAATGGTAAAAACTCTTAGATTTAGCTTTTCGAAAAACTTTTAGAATTAACTTTGTAAAAATATCTTGGATTAACCTTCTTCAGAAACTTTCTGACAACATGTTACAATAAATTTTCAGAAATATTTTGGATTAATCTTTTGGAAATGGAGAACTTATGTTTCAGATTTGTAATCCAAAACTTAAATCATATCTATGTAGCATTATTTATAACATTGTATATAGTATTTTGTTACATCTAATATTTTATAAGATTAAATTTTAATTTTAGTTATAAATTGATGGTGGTTGGTTGTAAATAGCATGTTTGATTTAAAATTGTGGAGGCAAGTATAGCTAGCAATGGATGCAAATTTGACAACACCAAGAACAAGCATTCATTAGAAAACACAAAGGAGAGGGGCCTCATAATCATTGCCGACTTATATATACATACAAACTTAGATGAATCAATGAATGTAGGAGATAACATTTTTCCATTTCTGAAAATGATGCTTCCATTCCATGCTACATCACTGTAATACACATGGATAGAGATAAGATTAAAATAATAATTATTGAAATAAGGAAATAGTTTTATTTATTGATTCTTAATATTTTAAATAGTACAATGACAAATCTAGGGTTTTTTTTTTTTACTTTATTTATGAAAATTATCACAAGATTATGATACTATAATTTTTATTTTTTTTAAATCCCTTCAATTATGAAGGATGTTGGACATAATTTTTAAGTTTGGAAAAAAAGTAAAGTATTATAGAGTTTTGATGAAAGTGAGTAAAATTGTTGCTCTAATTTATCTCATTTATTTTATTTTGATGACTCTGTTTCTGTGTTCGGTGAAAGGGATGGTTAATGAAGAGAATTGAGGGAAAGAAATTGAAATGGAGAGAAAGGGGAGAAGCACCAACAATGCACATGGAAGAATTGTAAAACAGAAGGACCACAAATTAAATCCGGAAAGTGATATCATTATTATTTAGGGCCTCATAATCATTGAGGTGCCATCGTAGGCCCAATCAATACTCACGTCACCCACTCCATACACATAAACAAGAACATAAATTGGATGAATGATAGGATTCTCAAGTTTATAAGCATGGAAAAAGAAAATTAAAAAAAATGTGTGTATATATTTAAATTTTTAACCGTTTTTAATAATTTCTTGTGTGAGAATTTAGTTCATATTCTAGTTATAGATACAAATAACATGTTGCTATAGCCTCAACGAAGGCCTTCAACATTCACCAAGAGAAGAGAATTGGGTCCACAAGGGAGCTACTTGAGCTTTCCATCAACACCACCACACTCCATCACCTACTATGTATGATCAGCATCACAACACAAATAGTGATCAACACAGGAACTCTATTCATCATTTTCATGCATACATACCCATACTCATACTTATGTCACTTCACTTCAATATATATATACACTAACACAGTCCTCATCTCTCATTAATGATTATATAATAATAGGGTGTGGTATGTGTGGCTTTGGTATCAAATTCAATACACCAAATCAAACATAGAAAATTCTTTGTAGTGTTGATTTACTACCACCTCATAGATTCCCTGTCCCCATTGCAAATATAAAAAAAAAATCCGAGTCAGTGTCGATTGAGGTGAGGGAGAAGCAGTGTTTTATTAATTATATTATGAAAAGTGATTAGAAGAACACTGAAAAGTGGGGAAATGAAAAAGGATGATATCCTACACTGGGGATGAACATGCACATGCCCTTGCCTCAACCTCTCATCATGTGACTCTAGATGGAGCCATGTTTGGGTGCCGACATGGATTTTGGAGAATATGGTTAAGTCTCCCTGTGCTTTCCACTGGACTTGTCATCCATCTCACATGTGCCATTCTGTCAATTCATTGTCTTTCGTTAATTTTCATACTCTTTAATATCAAATAAAACGCCACACTGTAAAGCAATTCACGTGTTAATTTTAATCGTACTCCATTGTACTATTGTAAGATGAATGGAGAATGGTTCTCATTCTTCCAAGTCTCTCCTTTTCCATCTCTACTCTTCTTGTTACATCATACAGAGACAATTCATGATTAAGGACTTGACCAAATTGCAAATTGATAGCATCTAAATCATCTATACACTGAAACTTTTCTTTTTTTCTTAAAAATGTGAAAGGAATAATTATTGCTTGCAGACTTTGTTTCTTTTCTATTCTGGCAATGGTGTCAATTTGATTATCGTTTTAGTGGGAAGGTTGGATTCACAAGAGGGTGATGGATTTTCTGTATCTCTTTTATATTCATGCACATAAAACTAGGGTGTATTTTTCCATCATTTTAGATCTGAACTTGTTCTATCTCATTTTTACAAACTATTAAGGAAGAGTAATAATACAAACATTCACGCATTCTTAATAAACAGTTCTTAGAAATCTTTTTATTCTTTCTGATTTCTTTTATCATATTATATTTCTTATAAACCTATTATTTTTGTCTTCTATTTTAAGTTGTAAATGAATTTTTTGGTACGGATAGGATATTTTCCAACAAGTAAAATAGGGACATGGTGGGGGCAGGACATGCAAGTTGACTGATATGTGACCCCTATGATGCATCCAATTCTTGAATGTTTCCTTTATTTTCGTGTAATATTCAAACAAAGTAAGTTCGCATGTTCCTATTGGTATACTTTAAAAGGAAAACAAATCAAAATGTAAAAGAAGAAGAAAAAAAAAAAAACATATATTTTCTCTGATACAACCATGCGCCGCGTGGTCTTCTCTTCAGCATAGGCTTTCAATCATCCGAGTATCCTTCGCATATTAATCTTGACAATAATTGATACTCTAGTTGCCTATAAATTATCACCTTCTCCACCAATCTTACACACTCAACCGAACCTTCATTTAGTTGTACGTACCTATTCTTCTACTGTAAGTAACCCCCTCCAATTCTTCACTATAAAATTCTTCTGTAAGCTAGGATGCACTTTTGACATCCACGTTGTGCAGCAAGAATTCATCACTTTTCTCTAAATACTATGTGACAGCCCATAGTTGCAACCTAAATTGTCAAGGGTAGAAGCAGAGCAGGTTTATATAGTCATGTATATAACACAAGTTTCTATGATTCACGTGTTTAAATTCTCACGAACATGTTAGTGTCAATTTATTTAATTTTGTGTATGCAGTGAGGTTTATTTTTTAGTGACCTGTAACACACATGACATCTGAAACTCTAGACGTCATGCATGTAAAACCTTTCTTTTCTACCACCTTTACATGTAGAATTCATCGTAAAGCTGATGCTTGTTTTATGTTGTCATTGAATTGCAACTTTGGTATCACATACTCCTTTAATCTTTTCTGCAGAACCTGTAATACAAATGCAGCAGCAGCATCTGATGGAACTTGAATATGTTAGCCAAAACACAACACAGTAAATAGATAGGACTCAGCTGATAGCTTCTAAAAGATCTTCAACCAGGTATCCAATTTACCTACTACCGCAGATATTTGATTTATATTATTTGATAAAATCTTCAACCTGTCCTTACAATTAATAAACTTCTAAATTCTAAAGTCAACAGATCGAGCAACAAGGTGTTGAGTGTTTGAGTCTGACCAATAATTCTGTTTAGATGTGACCATGTGAATCTGTCAACTGACACTACTATATATATATTGTGTGCCACCACATGATCTTCTTCCCTGTGGAAAAAAAAAAGTTTTCTTTCTTGATCTGCAAAAGTTATTTCTTTTTGACCAATTTTAACAGTCTGACAGTTTTCATCATTCTCAGCGGAGTGAGCGATGATATGTAGTTGAAGGATATTAGACATTTCAAATTAGCCACAGATCTAACATATGTTATGGAAAAATCCGAATATAAACACAAAGAGAGGTTTGTTGTTACCGTGCCTTGTCGAAGTTTCTTTGTAATATTGTAACGCTTCCATAGGTGGAGACGCAAATCTTTTATCCCTAGCGATATATATACTAAAATACACACGTCTCAAATATTGTTGTCGCGTCTTTGGGAAATTGGACAATGCAAATCATATAATATGGCTTGAACTACCAAGTTGTTCAACGATTTTGTTTTTTCCTCAAATTTGTTAGATATAAGTTTTTGGGAAAATATACGGTGTATTTAATTTCGCTAACCCTACAGAATTTTTTACTTTTTGTTGAAAGTGTGAGCCTTGGATGTATAGTCAACCCCACTTACTTATATATTCGGAATATAAAGCTAGGATCTCCATGCCCCTCCAAAGGATAGTGTAGATTCTAACATGCATGAAATCTTAGTTATAAAAACTAAATTATTTATATTTAATATTAACATAAAATACAACTAAAACAATTTAAGATCCCAGGATGATGACGGTGGAACCTTGCAATTACTTTTTAAAAGCAAGAATCTTGGACCGTCGGAAGGATCACCACTTAATTAAGCATATGCTCAATTGAATTGATTAAATTCCTTGGCAGTTTTTAAAAGGTATATTTTTTTTACAGGAGTTTAAAATACTAAAATGGTTTTCTGAAGTGTGGAGAAAATAGAGAGAAAGCGACGTATGCATGAATAATTGAAGAGTGCATATAAATGAGATGTATCAAACAAGAAAAAATAATAAAAATGTACCATAAAAATAAGAGAGATGTTAACTTGGTATGAGTTTCTAGTGAGAAGATTAGGTGATTTGAATTAGGCTTGAATAGCTCCGTCACGTTACAAGAAATATGATTCTGTCCGTGGGGGAATCATGAAATTAAAAGGAATGGATGTTATTTTAGGAGGACGTAGAATTTATGAGTGTAGGTAGTGTGAAAGAAAAGATAACAATTAAGTAAACGAATGGATCTGTCTGAACAAAAAGACATGTAGCGCGACCTTTGTCTCCAAAGTCTAAAACGTTTTCATCGAAGGCCAAATAAACAGAAAAAACAAAGCAACCTAAGAACACTTGTCATTTCTTTTTGGTGTCTTCTATTTCATCAGAGAAAGCCTCCACTTGTTCACTTTTCTTTTGAAATCCCCTTCTCACCTTTTCTATCAGAATATGGATTCCGTTTCGGACCCACCCTTTCAGGAAGCATACAAGATCCTATTTGACAAGACCCGAGACAACATTCGAGAGAATAATGGTGTTGATTACGATGAACTCGTGGTGGCCGAGGAATGCGAGCTTCCGGTGATCGATCTGAGCCGTTTGGAAGAGAGTGACGAGGTTGTGAGAGAAGAGTGCAAGTCACACATAGCTAGGGCTTCACAGGAGTGGGGTTTCTTCCAGGTTGTGAACCATGGTATTTCCAGTGAGATTTTCAGCAGGTTGCGGTGTGAGCAAGAGAAGGTTTTCAAGCAACCCTTTGAAAAGAAGACCAAAGAGGACAAGTTCTTGAACTTCTCCGCCGGAAGCTACCGTTGGGGAGCACCCAGTGCCACCTGCATTGGACAGTTATCTTGGTCAGAAGCGTTTCATATTCCTTTAACCGATATACTAGGATCCACTCGATCAAACTCTCTTAGGTACGTCTATTCACTCCACTCACTCACTAATGTTTAAGTCATGGCATATAGCCAAATTTTGTTAATTTTTTCTTGCAATGCAAAAGAATGGATTACGTGTTACATGAGTATAAGTGAAAACTATGGATGCATGTAATCTTGACCGTAGTAGAGTAATAATATTGAGCAATGTTTAATTCCAATGCGAAGCATTAATTTATGTGGTGTGAATGAAGTGTGGTCATATCACGAGGCATAGTTTGTTCTCATTTTTAAATTTTCATAAAAAAAGAGGAAATTTTTATTTGGCCCAGTTCATACCTGAGCTCAAGTGTCATTCTCAAGGAGAGCAGAAGATCTTTTTGCTTTTCCCACAGCAAAACAAAGACTAGACTTTACACTGCTCGAATTGATGTTTTGTCAACTTCTTCTGCCACCGCCATTGCAGAACTTTAAAGATGTTCAGTTCCGTCATGTGTTGACTTGCTTTATTACTCTTGCACACACATAATTAATTAGTTCCATGCATTTTTTTTATTAATTACTACAATCTAAACCCACATGACCCAAACATTGCTTTCTATGCACATGGCTTGCCACTTTTATGGTTCCCCTGGCCTGCACATTCCGTAGTTTCTCACGTGAATGTTGCCAACTGCTGGAGCCGAAAACTCTACGGTCATTGCAGACTGACGACAGCATTCCATCAATTCTTGACTCGATCAAAGCAATAGTATATATCTCACCAACAAATAACAAATGGAATTAATAAAACAATACTATAAACTGATATTGTTTTTATGGTCATACCTTAACATTCACCTTTATTACTATAGACAAGACAAGTGTAATAATCAATTAACTCTGATTAACGAATTTATTTGGATGCATACATGTTTGCAGTTCGACAATTGAACAGTATGCTACAACAGTTTCGAGCCTTGCACAAACATTAGCCGACATCCTGGCCGAGAAAATGGGTCACAAGTCAACCTTCTTTAAGGAGAATTGTTTGCCTGACACATGCTATCTTCGACTGAATCGATATCCTCCATGCCCTATTGCTTTTGGGATTCACGGTCTGATGCCACACACTGATAGTGACTTTCTCACCATACTATATCAGGATCAGGTTGGAGGTTTGCAACTGGTCAAAGACGGAAAATGGATCGCAGTTAAACCAAATCCCGATGCCCTTATAATCAACATTGGTGACTTGTTCCAGGTATTTAATTATTCTACTAGAATAATGATAATGTTCGGTCTCGTTACTAGTTAATTAACATTAGGCCACTGCTGTATATAGGCATGGAGCAACGGGGTGTACAAGAGCGTTGAGCATCGCGTTATGAACAACCCGAAACTAGAGAGGTTCTCTATGGCGTATTTCTTGTGCCCTTCAGATGACACTGTGATAGAGAGTTGCAGAGAGCCCTCTGTTTACAGAAAATTCAGCTTTCGGGAGTATAGAAAACAAGTTCGGGATGATGTTCAGAAGTTGGGTTCCAAAATAGGCCTGCCCAGGTTTCTCACACATGACGGAACTTGGAACATATAAAGCACATAATTATGAAGTGTTGAAAGATGAAGAAGTAGGTTACATTGCCTCATATAAGAGTGAAGAAGGTGGAAGAGAGATGGATCTAGAAGAAGAAGAAGAAGAAGAAGAAGAAAGAATGAGGGGTAGTGTGGTCTCGTGAGTGTAAGTTTGTGTTAGTAATAAAAATTTGCAGATAGGGTCAGAATGGTAGCCGGTTTCAGTCTGCATGTTTGATGCTGTCTCATTTTGTCTGCTGTTAAGCTACAACCTGTAACATGGTCACTGCATAGGAAGCAATTCCCATTCATGGAATATTAATTTTGTATTCCAATTCCATGCATCATTCATGGAATATAGTTTGGCTATTAAACTCATAAATTAAGTTAAGGCTTCAAATAATAAATATTATGTTTTCTTCATAAGAGACACATTTAGATAACATTATTCTATTCACTTATTTTAAAAATTGCAACTGCATTCACTAATAAGTTAGTATGTTATATACTTCATATCTCAATATGAGAAGGTCTATTTACAGAACTCACTAACTACAGATACACTTTACGAAAAAAAAAAAATTCAAGTATATTATTTTACTCTGCAGAATTTCAAAAGGGCTATGATCAAATGCTAAAAAGTTTAAATTGTTCTGATTTAAGTTTTATTCGTTCAAAAATGCTTTGTTTGAATAAATCAATTCGAGCTTTTTACATTTAAAAGTACTTAGTTTAGATAGGTAATACTATATATAAAATTAAATATGTATTTAAAGTTATTTTCTAAGTAATTTTAAATATTTAATGAGATTAGAAATTTATATAAAAAATTTTAAAGTTCATATTTTTTTAAAATTAAAATTCTATAACTTTAATAATCAAAATATTGTCATAAATATTACAAAATTCTATTTATTCAAATTATTTATAAAAAAATATTTTACCATAAAACAAAAGTCAATTACTCTCAAGTGACTACTGGTCTCCACAACACAAATTATTATTAAGTATTTGCTACGAAAAAAGTGAGGTCGTATGTTTTAGTGACATTTTCCTTTTTCATTCTCAGTACGATTTTTACATATGTTACAGAAACTGCTCTTAATTTCCCTCAAACTTGTTATTTTTAATTTTCAAATTGATATTTTTGTAATAAGACGTAAATACGTGGATTTTCATTTTGATTTGTAGAAAATGATTTGGTATGAATGCATTTACTAAAGTTATTAGGTGAGCCCAATAGGTTGATTTTAAAAGCACCAGCCCAATGACTTGATTCTGTTTGGCCATTTATTTTTACCAAGTTCACACATCTTTGACTTTTCATTGAGGTGCTTCCAATTACAAATGTAAAATATGGTTTGATTCATGGTAAGACGTGCATAAATAAACATGGATTAATGAAAGATGAAGACAAGCATGAGTGCAAGCTCCACTATATGTTGAACTACAACTTTGAAAGCAACATAGTTCTCCATTTTCTACCACTCCTTGTGGAGAGTTATGCGTATTTTAGTTGAATATTTTTGAGTTTCAAAACTTGGATGAACATGGACTTTGAATCGATGAGGGTGGTCATTATTCATTGTTCAGAGTGCGCAGAATTATAAGTCCCACTCAGATGCGCTCTTTTCTGCTCGTCTCCTACTTCCAAATTACAACAATTACCCTTATCTTTTGATTCACAAAAAATAATAAGGATTTTTGATTAATTGTAATTTTTTTAAGAAATGAAATTAAAACTAAGACAAAAAAGAAACCCTAATAATAAAAATATAAAATTATATATTCATTTTTTAAAATTTAACTTTTCTATCGTCTATCCTTTTAATATGATATTTTTAAGAAACTAGAAAACAGATTTTTTTCCATAATTTAATTTTTAAAGACGATTTTGGGATACAATCAGCATTTATTAAATATAGATGTGTATTTTAATGAAGGTTTGAAGTTATTTCATCATGCTATGAAAAATTAGCCTTTTATTAGATTCAATTTCTATTGATATAATAAAGTGAAAAATACATGACATGCTAAATAAAAAAAAAAAAAATGAAGACTTATGTAAAAGCGTATATTTGTTGTACATTTCAAATGGAGAAAGAATGGAAAGATATTCGTTAATGTATTACATACCAATCACATAATCCAACACATTAAGATTTTAAATTTTATAGTTCTTCTTAACTTACATATTATTCAAAAAATTCTATACACTGCAACTCATATTTACACTTCAACTGTATTATTAGTAACAGCATAATCAATGGAATTGTTTGCTCAACACCATGAAACTTTATCTTTTTATTGGTTGAGGACACATGTGATGCTAAAAATCCTGCCAGTGGCATACGTGATTTAACGTGTTAACTTCGTTTTGAGAAAAACAAATGTAGTTCACATTTAAAGTTATTTCGACCAAAGTGCACAAGCATATGAAAATTGTCAGATAAACTTCGATCTGTGTAACATAGTTTATTTCGATCGACTACCAGAAATACATAAACATTCTTTGTCCCTGGAAAAAGTAGTGTTGGAGTGCGACATTTTCCAATGATCTAGGGGGAAAGAAAGCCTTTAGAGCACGCATGCTTTGGTTTCTGCTGCCTAGAGCCAAACACTATCATTTCATCTAGGCAGCTCTCCTGCTATTGGCTTTCTTTCCCCTTCCCTTTACCACTCTGCTCACATGAAAAATCATATATATATATATATATATATATATATATATATATGCACATAACGAAAGGATCACTTGCTTTTAGATTGCATCATATATATATGCGAGAGAGTAAACCGGAACAGAAAGATGGAGACGAGCAAGATCAAGGACCAGAAATAGTAAAAGGTGACTTTATGACCCTCCACTAAGCCCTGCGATCACGCAACACATAAACTAGAGAGCCATGTCTTCCATGTGATCGTTTGTCTTCCATTAACATTAAAAAAATGGAAGATTCCTTCACTCTATCACAGTACATTATGTCTTTGTATTTATCTCTTGTAGTTGCCAAAGAGATGATGCCGAAAAGCAGATTTTAACTGATTCTGACATCAGGCTGGCTGAAATTTGGTTAGCTTTTGCTACTCCTGCTCTTTTGCCTTTTTTTAACTTCTACGTTTTGCTCGAATTCTGGGATTCTAATGGAATTTTGCTCCAGAAATGAATATCCTTTTTCCTCTTGTTTCCCTTATAAGAGGTACTTTCAGTCACTGCTTCCAATCACCCCTGTATTCATCTGAACTTTGTTTCTTGCTTGTGAGAGTGAAGTATATCAGCAACATTGTTCCCATGCTAGACCTGCAATTTCACAGCATCAACTGTGCCATTAACCGCAAACGAAAATGCAGAAGCCAAAGGTAATGGATCTATTAATTAAATGTGAGACTTGAATCATACAAGGTGGCAAAGAAAAGTAGAACCCTTTTAGGATCAAGGGCCCATGAAGAAGGTCGTCTGAAACTATTTCTCCGAGTTATACTACATTTGCTTTCTGTGGGGTTGCCACTGATGTTATTGGTTGTCATAGCAATCTGCTGATAGACGTGTGGGTTGATGGAATAATCCATGGACCCTACTGCCATCTCCGCTGGCTTTTCGGGCGCGCAGGGCCCAACAAGTGTACCTATGCAGGTCAATGATATCCACAACCATAATTAGTATAAGGATTTGTTAGCTCCCAAGGTTTTTCTAACTTCAGATAATGCCAATTCTTGTGGCCCCAAATATGGGTACACAAAAACAACAAATATACCATTGTATTGTACTTGTACCAAATTGATACCCCCTAACCAATTTCCCTTTTAGTACTAGTAAGGTTGACCCAGGGCCCTATTTCACACAGTTGAAATGGCCCATTACAGTGACAGGTTCACGGAGTGGTTAGCCCCTTCAAATAGGCATTCTGAAAAAAGATAGAAATAAAATCATCCTAACTAATCTTCAACCACCAGTGAGTGGTGACCAAGCCAAGCAATTACAACATCCTCATAAAACTTAATTTATAGTTCCACTTATCACAGTTTGGTCACATTTGTGTTTGAACGTGAATCCAAAACCTAGCTATAGGGGATCTGTAACGACGATAATCACAATAATAATAATAACACATCATAATTCAGCAAGGTGAGACCTAACAATTGGGGGACATCCATCTTGTCATGACATAGGTACAGGTTGGTAATGAAATATTATATATTTTTTGTGTACATAAACAACGAAGGTATGGAGGAGACATTTTCTATGTCACCTGTGTCCTACACACAATAACTTCATATTTTATACAAAGAAACCACGTCCATATGCGCCAAATAATGGAAATAGACAAACGTGTACGTAATTATATTAAAATTGATCTCTTCGACCAAAGATGTACAGTAAATGAAAAAAAAAAAGATCTAAGTAGTGGAATCCGTCAATATAAGTTTATAATAGTAATAAAAAAATGGATTTTGTTTTATTTATACTGAAATAAAATAATAAGATGAATGAAAATGCGGTTTCGGAAGGACAATTTACCTTTTGGTGAGCATATGGTATCCTTATCATAAAGTGTAGCACTGCTGTTCACCCTCCTGTCACCCAAACGTAGTGATCCTTTTCTGGAAAGACTTCTCTGTGACTTTTTTTTTTTTTAAAGAGTTAAGAACAACAAAATATTAAAATAAATGAAATTTAAAAGTAAAGCCATCATTAAAACCAAAATAACCACTAAGGACAAAAATAACCATTGAGAAGACATTTTCAGGAGATATTTCGTTCCATGTGTATATTATGAGTGAAGGAAAAAAAGTAAGTGGGGGAAAGGATTGGACCCCTCCTTGTTTTGTTTTTGGTTACATTCGCAAGATAGAGATTTGATGGAAGTATTTTAAGTGGGACTCCTATATTTTCCATTCCTTCGATATGACACTGAATGAGAGAGAAGAAAGTGTTTTTGGTAATTCTTATTTAATATTTATAAGATTTTGTCTTTAATATTAGTTTTGTTAAAGTATTTTAAATATTGACTCGGTATCTCGTTAAAAGTTAAGATGTTTTTTAAGATAAGTATTTTTTTTCCAAGACGATATATAATATTATTTTTTTATTAAAAAAATTTTACTTTTGAATTGTCAGAAAAGGTAAATACTACCCCATATCTTAAGATACTAGTTGAAATTTAAAACTAGAAAGTGTATTATTGATACACTTTTGCCATAATTTTCCACAATTCCAATATTGTTTTTCTTGAAGAATATTTACTTAACTGAACACTTATTAGCAAGTCCCCTAAGATCCTGTTTAGTTCTGAAAAAAAAAGAGACGAAAATAAATAAGAAATAAGTTGAGAAAAAATAGACTAAAAAGTGGAATTGTTTAGCAAAATATGAATATATAAAAAATAAAGAGAGAATGTTTTCAGAATTATGTTTTTTAATTGATTTTAAGAAATAACTAAAGATAAAAAAAAAGTAAAAATAAATAAAAAAACCAATACAAATGCCATACTATTTAAAAAAAAAATTCCTTACTCTTTTATCTAAACAAACATGACTTAATCCCCATAAACAAATACAGTCTAAAAGAAATAAAGAAAACACAACAAAATCACAAGACGCAGTTTCCAACTGCAGACATTTAATTAAGGGAAGGAGCATATATTCGTTTTAAAACTTTATTTTACTCCTTTCCGTTATAAATGGTGAAACAGATAAACAAAGCATAGGGCACAATAAAGTTAAAATGGTTAAATTAAATAGCCTACCCTAATTTAAACGTAGAATTAGTCTGTTCAAAACTATAGCTAAAGGCTAAATAATGATTGAGAGAGAAATTGGATCCAATGGCCGCAAAAGTTTAATGGGTCATTGATAGCGTGGTGTTCTTATTTTTCCCTCTCACTTCAATTGGTAATAATGCCAGCATTGATTATTACGAAGCCTAGTATTCTAAAATGCACTAATAACCTTCGTGCTTTAAATTATGTATTGTAAGTTCCAATAAGAAACAGAACACCCCTTGAACTTTAAGAGGGAAAAAAAAAAGTGTAATTAAGTTTTGAGAAGAGAGAGAGAGTTACCGCAATTCTCGAATTTGCATTGGTAGGATCTTTGTGGATGGCGGAAGAAAAGGCATCCATATCAATCACAAAGCTATCGGGTTTCTCGAATGTGTTTATGTGATCGGAAACTGAAATTCTCTCGCTTCCTCTGCTCTTCTCTTCCGAATTCAAAGCCTCAAAACTCGATGACGGATCCTTAGAAACACAAGGCAAAATGAGTAAAATGTAACAGTTACAAATGAATAAGATTAAAGAGAGAACAAAATTCTTACCAATTCCGGAATCTCCGCCATCTCAATGAGCTTCTAAAGAGAAGAAAGGAAAATGGAAAACTGAAGGTGAATGTATGTATGTGTGTAACCGTTGACGATGAGGCTTGCGTGGGGAATGGGAAGAAGCACAAGATAAACCTGATTGGAGTAAAAAATATACATTAATAATAATAATAATGTATAGTAAATAAACACCAATTAGAAGATGACCCCGTGAACCATAATCTCTCTCTGTATCGTTTTCATTTCGTCTTTTCTTCTTAACCTTCCTTTCCTTACTCAATTACCCCATTCCATTGGTAAGGTAAACCAAACACCCAATAATTAATTCACCAAGAAAAGAAAACCCACTTACAGAGACTAACCTGGCCCGCTCTTCTTCTGGGTCTGGCCTTGAACAATGGATCCTTTTATCTTCAGCAAGCTTTTGGCTATGGGAATGAAATGAACAGAGAGCGGGAAGATAATATAAATGGGTAGAGATTGTAACCACTATGTGTGTGTGTGTGTGTTGTGCTTAGAAGGGTTGTGTTAAGTTATGTTGGGATTGGGATTGGGATTGGGATGGAGAAAGAAACAAAGGGAGAAAGAAATGGTTGAAGGGAAGCGTGTAAGAGAGAGAAAGAGAGCACGATCGCCATGATATTGGGTTAGTTTGAGGCATTTCTCTTGTTCTCTGTTTTTCAAATGCCATGTAATGAATTACCAATTTCTTCTTGCTACGCTTTTCTAATATCTTATTAATAAATATTTTACACTTATTATTATAATAAAATGTAATAAGTTTCTTAATTTCGAATTGCATTAATGATCATTTTTATTAGTTGACAAAAAAAATTAAAGTTTGGAGTTTAATGAAGTACAATATTAATTAAATTAAATTTATTATTTATTATTTATTATTTATAATGTAATAGTAACAAAACATAACAAATTATTGAATATGATGAGGATATTCATGACTTGGTTGGTTTCATAGACCTTATCCAAAGAAGATGACAGATCAAGTTAATGAAATTAAGCTTGTTGTATTTCCAAAATTTAGTCAACCATATATATATATATATATATATATATATATATATATATATATATATATATATATATATATATATATATTAAAATAATTTTTATTACCTAAATTGTATTATAATGAAATTATTCAAAAATATTATTACGGAAAAAATCTATTTTTTTATTCCTAAATAGATACTTAATTATAAGTCTAAGAAATACTTATTAAATATGTCACTTTTCATAATTTTTATTATGATAATAATTATTAATATCGCGCAAACGAAAATACTAAAAAAGTTATTCTTAATAAGATTTAGAATATAATTAACTTAAAAATAAAAATAATAAAATAAATAATACATTTAATTTTATAATAATTTGTTAAGTTTAATTTTGATGAGGTAATAAATAAATTTAGTTTTCATTAGATGTAGAGTTGTGTGTACGACAAAACTTCATTGTCCAATATTTATTATTATTAGGGAAGTTGACACAACATGTCACTGATACATTTCATTTCTCTCATTTGTATACAAATCAGTTTGGTATTTTATTTATAATTATATTTAAAATCTTATTTTTTTTATCCAAACTAAATAAATAAAAAACATTTTCAATTTGTGTGAATAATAGTGATAATATATTTTTTTACAGTACGTAAAGAAAAAAAATATATATTTTCCACCAGCTAACCTCAATACCCCAATAACACACGGACAATGAAGCGTATCTACCTACGTTAACAGTATTATATCAACCGTGTGTATTGTAAATAAACTAAAATCAACGGAGCACACATTACACTAAATTTCATGCACTAATCATTTTTCATCACACAGATCAACAGAAAGCACATTACAGAACATAGTATTTTCTACATGAAGGTTGCAATTTCTCCTACTTGGCGTTTCGCCATGCTTAAGAAATGCATATATTCTTCCCTCATTCTTACTTCAGCACCACACGCCAACCTTTGACTACAATAATCTGTTTTATCCTTCACCACTCTGTAATGAAACGCTCCCTCAATCTCAGACATCTTTCTTAAGGATGTGTGAAGGCAAGAGTTTCTACATATGCCTCTTAAAAGTCATAGGACTGTTAGGCCTTCTGGTTCTGTGCCAATGGCTGAGCTTACGACCCCGGAGACCCTCCTACTCCATTGTGTTCATCTCCGTAGACCAGCCCTCCAACTCAACTGGAAATGGTACCATCTCTTACAACCTTGAAATGAAAAATCCCAACAAGGAATCGAGCATTTATTATGACGACACAATATTAAGTTTCTTATATGGGGAGCAAGAGGATGAGGTGGGTCAGACAACTATAGGCTCTTACCATCAAGAAACTGCCAATACCCGGGTTGTATCTAACACTGTTAATGCCAAACCTCGACCATTCAAGCTTCTCTTAAATGCCATCTCAAACGCAACCGCGGAGTTAGAAGTTGCTCTGAGGACAAGATATCGATACAAGACATGGGGGATTAAGAGCAAGTTCCATGGGTTACACCTCAAAGGTATTCTACCAATTGAATCCAACGGGAAGCTCTCAGGTAAGAAGAAAAAGTACCCACTTAAACACAACTCCAAAAAACTAGGAAGGTCCAATTCAACGTAAGGCACCGAACCTACACCTACAAAGATTCTTGGTTCCACCGTACATGGATGGGCATATCCTTGCTTCCACCCTGGTGTAAGCAGAAACAAGAACAAGCTTAGTATCTGATGGGTTCTATGACTACATTATCGGGAGACACAGGAAACTATTTGGTTTGGGATTGATGTGGTTTAGTGGAGTAAGGTTTTCTCTAGAATGAAGGATCTGTGTTATACTGGATAGAAAACAAAGAATTAGGTACTTGTACATTTTTAAATCTCTTGTAATAAGTGGTGTGATAAATGAAACTAAAATTTAGCTCTGAAAACTGTGCTCACTACATATTGATTTCAGAATTCTTTTTAAGTATTTGGATTTTGTATTAATCCTACAGTTCTCCAACTGAACAACAATTCATCAGAAATAACATCACGGAAAGTTCTTCGTGAGGAGAGCATTCTAACTCCACTTTTTCCTATCAAAATATCTTTTGCTGACTTTAAGGACTCCTCACCGGAGTCTGACATCTGCTGGCAACTTGTCTGCGCCATTGATGAATTGAAACCTGTAAACCAGCAAAGGAGGTAATTTATATATACACCAAACAGGAAATATGCATGTCATATAGTAAACTTCAATAAAGCATGCTAAATCATTACAGCTGGAAAGCCACCATAGTCCCCAGGCTCTTTGATGTCCTTGGTGACAAAACTTGCTGCTGCAAGCCGAACCTGCAAATGCTGTGTAATCAGATATTTCTACTAAACCCTGAGCTACTAATTTTCCAAAATTAAAAACAGTAAAACAGTAACTGAATTTATATTTATTGTAGTCAAATAGTTGATTGATCATATTTAAACTCTATTTGGTAGATAGGAAAAAAAATAAAGGAAGTAAAAAAAAAATAGATGCCAAATAAGTAAAACAAAAGATTGTTTGGTTGAAAATAAATAAGTGGAAAGAAAGGTAGTTTTATTTATCATAATTTTATCTATTATTATTTTTTGTTTATTTATTATCATTATTATTATTATAATTAGAGCAAAAAAAATTTTAAAAATAAACCATAATCAATTATGGGTGTCCATAATCTATTATCTTCTAAAAAAAATTCAATCTCTCACATAATTGATTTTGTTGCTCTGTGTGACCAATTTCTACGCATTTCTTTGTCGTTTTACGTGGAAAGGTGGCAGAGGGATCCATCCTCTTCTTTCTACTCTTTTCTTCACATATCACTCCAACCAAAGCACCCGACCTTCCCCCATTTCTCCTTTCCTTCCCTCATCAGCACTACCAAACGGAGGCTTAGTCCAGAAAACAAAGAATTCCTGGTTGCACTTAGTGAATACCATGGAGTTGCAAATTATGCCCCTCATAGACTATTCAGATAGATGACAGATATATGAAGGGGTATAAAAGTTCAGATAACCAACTTGTATTGTATGTATTATCATTGTGTATAAAAAACCTTTACTCTACCACTTTCCAAAACCTATCTAGTTGATTGAGAATAGTATTGGTCTTAGAACATCCACTTTAAGTTCACGCTTTCATTTACTAATAACTAATCACTAGCCATCCAAGGCTATGAGAGGTTAACCTTGTAAGATCAGGAAACAAATGCATACCTTTGATATGATGGATACATGATCTCGCACTGCTACCCTTCCTCCCATAGTCACGTAATCTCCTATGCTGAGCACACCAGGGTACCAAATTTGTAACCCAGAATAAATTCAAAAGCCTCATCTAGAAATTTAATTCTAATACAAATGAATTTAACCGCAAGTAAAAAACCAAAATTCACTATGCAAGACATAAATGAATGAAGATAACATACGTTGCTGAACCTGCAATCCCAACTTGCCCACAAAGCAAACAATTCTTCCCAATTACTACATTATGGCCAATCTGCAGAAACAATCAGAACCACGGAGAAAATCTTGTTTGTTTAATTAATAATCATGAAAAACCTAAGTGTTAACCTGAACTAAATTATCTATTTTTGAATTGTCTCCAATAACTGTATCACGCCAGCTGCATAAAAAAAGAGTGAGTAAAATTAGAAATAAACCAAGTGAAAACAAATCATAACACATGATTAAGCAACATGATAAAATAATAAAATCGTTTAATCACTAACCTGCCTCTATCAATGCATGTATTTGAACCAATTTCCACATTGTTCCCTATTATTACATTCAAAGTCTGACAGATTTAACATCGAAAAGCAAATTAATTATTATGTCCAGGTCAAACTAAGCAAGGTGAATGCTAAATATGGAACAATACAGTTTTAGAAAGCACTTGTCAACATACAAAATTTAAAATCAATTTACAATACGATTGACATACAACCAACCTGAGGCTTCTTTATCATATTACCATCACCATCCACATAAAATCCAAATCCTACACATCAATATCATCACATATAAACTGACAAAAGACATTCACAGTGCTAAATTAGTTTACTTAAGTATGCATGCATCAGCTATTAAAAACTAAGCATCGTCTGCGGCAAAAGGTAAAATAACTCTGAACTACATATATTATACACGCAATGCACTAAGTATTCATACTAGGACTGTTATTCTCTCTTAAAGTGCACAAACAAGCAAGCGAAGAAATCCAGCTTTACCATCTTGACCAATGCAGACGCCATTGTGGATTACACATGAATCACCTATAAAGCAATTACTTAGAGCGACATTATACCTGGAAAGCATAGAAGTATCGAAACCACTTCAGTAGTACAAATACAAATTATTTTGCATCAGATGTAACTAATATAAGTGTGATTTTAAATTCCATATATACTAGTTGTTAGACATAAGCATGCACATGAACCTCTATAAAGGGTGTGAACATCCTTCCAATTTAAGTTATAATACATAACCTACTCCAATTAATTCCAAATCACGACGTTGCAAGTCTCAAACTAATGAAACCAGTTTATACATTATACCTCACGCCTACCTTAGTATCATAATGGTACTTTTCACAGTCAGCTTCTACCTTCTATAATAACAACATATTAACGCGTGCTTCCATTGTAGAGCGCAAACCTACTAAGTAATAGCTAACAAAGCATCCAAGTCTATTACAAAGTAAAGGCTAAAAGCAATATTTAACAGAAGCAACCAAGCTCATTCAGAGTTTAAAGCGAAAATGACACTGTCATAAAACAATGATACTGATGATGAGACCAAGTTGCATAGGAATGTGACACAGAGAAAGGAAAGTGTACCCTATCTTTGTTGAATGAGCAATAGTAACAGAAGGCCCAACAATAGTTCCAGAACCTATACGAACATTTGAACCAACAACAGATTCTGAATGAACTACAGCGCCAACCTCTACAAGTGCTGTGGAGTCAATGCTAGCCGACTCGTGGAAAGTGCCACCTCCATTATGCCACTTGTGAAATTTATCACCGAAAGAACCATCCTCTAATCTTGAAACACAAGACAACCGTAACATATAATCAATTATTTAAAAAGACGAAACAAAAAATGTATTAAGAAATATACGAAATGATCATCCACCTGGAGAAGCAGAAAAACCGGAGAAATGACGAGAAGAATCGAAAATATAGAAGAAGTTTGGATTTTGATTGAGATTGAGAAAAGGGGTTGAAGTGGAACAAGCAAAGGCAAGTAACCTCCTTCCAGCCATAGTCATCGCACGTTAATCACTTGGTCCGCGGTACAAGACAACAACCAGAACAAGGGTTAATTACTGTGTGGATCGGGGCTCCGACCCAATTGGGTTCAAATAAACGGGTGGTCCAATTTGTGGTTCGCTCTGCTGACTCGACAAAAATAAAAATACCCCTCTCTAACAAAATGTATTATCTTTTATTAAAATTTAGGTTTAATAATAATTTTGATCCTTAAACTTTTTTCAAGAACCCCTCTCTATTGAATGGACACAAGACAAAGAAAAATATCCCTCTTTAAAAAAAAATTCCAATCCAATGATTTGTATTATAAACTTAAAAAAAAAAAAATTCTATTTTTTTTCTCTGTTAAATGTTCAAATACTCATTTTTTTTCTTAATTTGAATAAATTAAATTACTTTAAAATTCATCAAATAGAATTTTAATTCTTATTAAAAATGACATTATTTTTGTATTTCAAATAAATCACTCTCAAGTACAAAAACAAATATAAATATTTAGTAATTACGTTGGAAGTTTCATGTCGCTTACTTTATATCATTTAGTATGATTTAAATACATATTAGACTATTTCACATATTTACAATTGATTTTATGTTAAAACCTTAATACTATATCATAATTAAAACTTAACCTTTATTGTCTTGGTCAAAATCGATTGATACTTGTTTGTGATTCTTTTGTATAAATTTTTTTCGTGTAAAATGGATATGGTTGTTTACATATTGATTTTGAATATTTTAATTATCATGATACTTAAAAAAAAGATATGTAGACTTTTAATGTTGAAAAACTATTATAAATAACAAAAGTATATATTACATACAGTTTACAAATAATTTATTATATAAATTCAATTAATTAAACTTAGTACTAGTTACAATAGATGAAATTATTTAAAGATAAACAAATATTAAGTAATAAAATTCTATATTTTTTTTGGTAATTTTTTAGAAGATAAAAAAAATATTTAAGCAAAATTCAATAATATCAAAATTTACTAAAAAATATTTAATAATTAATAAATATTAAATCAGTAAAGAATTAAAAAAATTACTACAAATTGTAAAGTTGAAAAAGTCTAAAGTTTAAAATAGGTTAAAGCAATACAAATATAATTATTTTAAAAATAAAAAATTATTTAATAATCATGTTGGCAATGATTTCACCCGTAATGAACACTAAAATAATAAATTTAGAATGAGTTGAATTTTGTTTGTCACCATAATAATAGTTTGAAATATTTAATGGTTTTAGTAGTGACTAGTCTTTGTTAGAGAAGTTCATTGACCCATCATTTGAATGAGTTCTTATGCATTTTCCGCTTATATTGCTTGAATCTAAAAAACTAGGATGAGTTTGGAATTCATTGATTTTTTTTTTTTTTTAAATATAAGGAAGCTAAAGATGCTGTTTTTGTTGTGATTTATTTATACAATACAGTGCGTGTTTTTGTTCTGAAACAAGTACCTATGGCAACCCCACACGTCTCTTCTGGTTAACTATGATCTGAATCCAATGACCAATTTGTTTTCCTCCTCTCGTTGTCAGTGACATCTCTTACTTATTTATTCTGCTTTCAATCAAATGTTTTATAATTTTGTATAAGCGTCATTATCTCACTAATTCATTGAAGCTTGTATTTCGGGTCAATAAAGAAATATTCTTCCCTTTTCATTTCGTCAACTCTGAAATTTTGATACTGTTTTACTCAACGTTTCAAACTCTGAATATCTTAATTTCATTGCTTACGTGCAACAATATTCAACCATAACAACTATACTGCAAGTAGAGGCAGAAGTATTTACCTGGAAATTTGGTTGAAAATTCAACCTTGTGCCTTTGCTGGTTGTTATTTGGCTTTTTTTATGAGTTTGAATTGATCACTTTCTTGGCAGCTTCTGAGATATTGTCACCTTTTTTACTGCACAGGTAAGAAATAATGAAATAAGGGTGCCAACTTCTGAATTATCATCCACAATCAGAAGGGGGGGGAAATCACTCATTTCCCAATGAATTCCAAATCCATTCAATTGCTGCTTCTTTGCACTTTTGCTTTATTTTCAGATGTTGTATTTGGCGATCCTCCGTATAAAATTTGTTCCACAAACGGCAGCTATGTAAGCGGGAGTTCCTTTGAAAACAATCTAAACAACGTGCTTTCATCTTTGTCCTCCAATGCTTCAAACTCCAAATTCTATAATACTTCTTATGGGATAGCCCCAGATAGAGTTTATGGCCTCTACATGTGCCTTGACTATATTTCAAATGAATCTTGCCAGAAATGCATCTCCACAGTAATAGAGGAAATTGTCAAACTGTGTCCTGAAGCAAAAGAAGCAGTTGTGTGGGAAGAGTCCTGTCAATTGCGTTATTCCAACGAAAATTTCATGGGTAGGTTGAATGTCACGGGGAACATTGGCTTAGACAATGTGCAGAATATTTCAGAGCCAGAGAAATTTGAGTCTGCTGTGAATGAGACATTATGGAATCTTACTAGGGTAGCATCTTTTAATGTTTCGGCTGACATGTATGCTACCGGAGAAGTTCCCTTTGAAGGTGAAACAATATTTGCCTTAGTGCAGTGCACCAGAGATTTAACTGCAAATGATTGTAGTAGGTGCCTACAAAGTGCCATTGGAGATATACCAAGTTGCTGCTATGCCTCCATTGGGGGAAGAGTTCTGAGCCGTAGCTGTTATTTAAGGTATGAATTTTATGCCTTTTACAATGGTGCAACAGGACCAACAGATTCTTCAACTGGCAAAAAAGAAAGCCAGAGTAAGCAACTCAAGTCACTCTCTAGTTTTAACACGTGGTCGTAAGCATATTATAAACTGCAATAATCCAAATCAGAATTGGATTTATTCTTTATGCAGATAAATCGAGCAAAATATGGATGATTACAGGAATTATAGTTGTGGTAGGCATGGTCACAGTATTTTTCATTTTCGGACTGTACCTTGTGAGGAATAAAAGACATCGGCAGAGTAAGTTGTTATAAGAAAGTATGTTTAGGCTTGTGAATTCTATTCTTCTTCTAACTTATTTGGTTCTTGTCTTCAGGAAAGAATAGAATAGACGATCACAAAATCAATCTTGGATCTCTTCGAGTGGCTACCAACAATTTTTCTGAATTGAATAAGCTTGGACAAGGTGGCTTTGGCCCTGTTTACAAGGTAAATAGAATTCAGGGTTGTACATGGTTCATTCCTTCCTGCTTGAATATTTAATTTATCATAGGAAAGTTCAGATAGATTGTTTTATACTTTTTGTTAGGGGAAACTTTCTGATGGCCAAGAAGTAGCAATCAAGAGGTTGTCAACTTTCTCCGAACAAGGCTCAGAGGAATTCATAAACGAGGTTCTTCTGATAATGAAACTTCAACACAAAAATCTTGTAAAGCTTCTTGGATTTTGTGTAGATGGAGAGGAGAAGCTTCTTGTGTATGAATTTTTACCCAATGGTAGTCTTGATGTTGTACTCTTTGGTAAGTATATTCTTTGAAGCAACCAATTACAGTAGAATAAAATTCAACAATGAGAAAATCGGTTGATTTTAGCATTCATTTTACTGCATATTTACATTTTTTATTGGATGATTGAAATATGGATAGATCCAAAACAACGCGCACAACTGGATTGGAGCAAACGCCTGAATATCATAAATGGAATAGCAAGGGGGATGCTTTATCTTCACGAAGATTCTCGACTGAAAATAATTCATAGGGACCTCAAAGCAAGTAATGTATTGTTGGACTATGACATGAATCCAAAGATCTCAGACTTTGGAATGGCAAGGATATTTGCAGGAAATGAAGGTGAAGCCAACACTGCTACAATAGTTGGCACATAGTAAGAAACGATTTTTCTTTTCTTTTCTTTTTTTCCACATTAATGTTTCTCCTTTACATGTATTCACTTGCTCAACCATAGTTCTATTTCCAATTTGCAGTGGGTATATGGCTCCAGAGTATGCAATGGAGGGATTATATTCCATAAAATCTGATGTGTTTGGATTTGGCGTGTTATTGCTCGAGGTCATTACAGGGAAACGTAACGCGGGTTCCTATCACTCTAAAACCACTCCTAGCCTTCTATCATATGTACAGTTTCTGAACTTACTGAATGTGAGATCTTATTCATTGAATTACTTAACATGATAATTCGCAAATGAGTTTGCACTGCAGGCATGGCATCTATGGAATGAGGGAAAGGGGATAGAACTAATTGATCCCTTGTTGGGTGATTCATGCACCGGAGTTGAGTTTTTAAGATACATGCAGATTGGACTGCTATGTGTTCAAGAAGATGCATATGATAGGCCAACCATGTCTTCCGTTGTTATGATGTTGAAGAATGAATCAGCTACACTTGGCCAACCAGAACAACCACCATTCTCTGTGGGGAGATTCAATGCTAATGACCCAGATTGCATAGAATGTTCACTCAATTTCATAACTGTGTCAGATATATTGCCCAAGTAAATCAAATTAAAACCTCCCTCCTTGTTCTGTTTACTATGCTCATGAACTATGCAACAACAAGGGGCACAACTTTATATTCCTCATTTTTAGGATTTTGTTCACATGTAAAATATATGTATTCCTATTTTTATACAAATACTCTAATTTAGTTAATCTAGTTATGCATAAGAGATTAGACTTTTCAACGTTTATAAATTGTTATAACTTTTAGGAAAAAGATTGATTCCATTTGTAGGATTGATGTTAAAATAATACTTATACAAATATTTATTTTCACTATTAAAGAATTATTGTAGAAGATACTCATTAAAGATGTTTAAATATGTAAAAACGGAAAAACAAATAGAAGAGACATGATTAATTGAAATCATTGATGATGAGATGTAATAAAAAGAGAGACAACAAAAGTAAGAAGTGTTGTTAATGTTTCATTGAAGAAGAAAAGGTGTTATTGTTGTTGAAGTCATAAAAAAGTAATACTTTTTACTAGACTTAATCGGAATGGTATTCTGTTTTTTTATTTCGTGCTTTTCAAATTATTACATCCTTTGTCAAGTCACAAAATAGCATGTCAGAAAAGTTGTTTTGAACTTATTTAGAGTATAGAAATTAATAATTAACAAATAGCACAAAAGTTGAAAGAGGGAGCGAGAAAACGCAAAGATGTGTGATTTTCCAAACTTAAGAATATCGTGTTAATTAATAAGAGAATTGGTCAGACTGGAGAGGTTCTGAAACAAAAATTCCACGATGGATAGCTAGAAAAAATAAGCAAAGCTAGCCACAGGTTAACACAATTTCTCCATCTCGCATCATAAATGTTGTGTTTGTTTGAACTGATTTGCGACGAAATACTGTTGACGAAGACAGAAGCACGAGATTCACCCACATTTGGTTGAATAGATTTGCGAAGAAATGCAGGCGAGGAAAAGGGGGAGAGGGGAGAGAGACTTTATTCGCTATTCTGCGAAGAAAAGAGACGAAAGTCTGCTGGAGATAATGAAATATCGAACTTACCCTCTTCCAAATGATAGCGGTTAAATCTTAACCGCTATTATAATAGCACTTGTAATAGCGGTTAAAACTTAACCGCTATTATATATCACTTCTAATAGCGGTTAAAACATAACCGCTATTATATATCACTTCTAATAGCGGTTAAATCTTAACCGCTATTATATATCACTTTAGATAGCGGTTAAAGAGGAACCGCTATTATATCCTCCAATTATGATAAATATAATCGATCAGAATCATATTTCGCTCGAGCGAGAAATAGTCGCTCAAGCGAAACACACCCCGAGACTGAAGAAATTAAAATATGGTTGTATATGATAGCGGTTCCAGTGGAACCGCTATCTAATATACACTTTAGATAGCGGTTGCAGATGAACCGCTATTATATCCTCCAATTATGATCGATCATTTCTTAAATCTAATCGATCAGAATCATATTTCGCTCGAGCGAGATATAGTCGCTCAAGCGAAACACAACCCGAGACTCGAAGAAATTAAAATATGGTTGTATATGATAGCGTCCATGGAACCGCTATCTAATATACACTTACCGCTATTATATCCTCCAATTATGATCGATCATTTCAAATTATGATCGATCAGGATCGTTTTTCGCTCGAGCGAGATATAGTCGCTCGAGCGAAATGCAACCCGAGATCGAATCTTAAAATATTTTTTTGAATATTATGTTTTTAAATTTGCTATTAGAGAAAACCTTTCGAATTCAAAATGTTAAATACTTTTAAATATTAAAATTAACTTTATCAAAAATTAGGAAAACAAAATTTATCCAAAAGAGTTCAAAAATGTATAAGAGTATTCTCAATTTTGAGTTTAATTATATTGTTCATTCTCAAAGTAGAAATTTATATTGTAGTTATTTAATTTACATTTTGTGATCTTCTTAAAATTAGCATCAATAACATTAGACTTTACATTTGATTCATACCTAACTAATTATAGATTAAAAGGAAAGTGGTATAACCATGCATTTTACTTTTCTATTTACCTTATTCTTTTAATTATTTTATATAATAATAATCAAAATATTCACATGAATATGGGCATTTTCGAAAATAATATTATTGTATTATTGTTAAAATTAGCATCAATAACATTACACTTGATCTTCTTAATTATATTGTTCATTCTCAAAGTAGAAAATTATATTGTAATTATCTTCAATTTATTAAAAGTGTAATTAAATCTTTATTTTCTTAATTTTTTTTTGTTTCAAACTTCTCAATTCTACATTTTTGTAACTTCTATCATTATATTATCATCCTCATCTCCTCCCATGTTCTATTTTATCTTTACAATAGTTAATATTCTTAAATAATCTATATTTTTAATTATAATTTTTTAATATATATTTCGAAATTAATCAATTCTAAGCTATTATTTGAAAAACTAATCAATTCTAATCAATAATTTAGAAAAATAATCGATTAGAATTAATTATTTGAAAAAATTATGAAATATGATCGATCATTTCGAAAATCTAATCGATCAGAATCATATTTCGCTCGAGCGAGATATAGTCGCTCAAGCGAAACACAACCCGAGACTCAAGAAATTAAAATATGGTTGTATATGATAGCGGTTCCACTGGAACCGCTATCTAATATACACTTCAGATAGCTGATTCATGAGGAACCGCTATTATATCCTCCAATTATGATCGATCATTTCAAATTATGATCGATCAGGATCGTTTTTCGCTCGAGCGAGATATAGTCGCTCGAGCGAAATGCAACCCGAGACCGAATCTTAAAATATTTTTTTGAATATTATGTTTTTTAATTTGCTATTAGAGAAAACCTTTCGAATTCAAAATGTTAAATAATTTTAAATATTAAAATTAACTTTATCAAAAATTAGGGAAACAAAATTTATCCAAAAGAGTTCAAAATGTATAAGAGTATTCTCAATTTTGAGTTTAATTATATTATTAATTCTTAAAGTAGAAAATTATATTGTAATTATTTTATCTCAAGTTAATGTGATGAGACGATCATCAACATTTCAACATTCGGAGTCAGATATATGGGACATCTTCGTCTCTCCAAGTTGTTCATGTTCTTGAGTGGAAGTGATTGAATGATCTGAACTGGAGGACTTGACTGCAAAAGATGAATAACATTATAATTATTTGTTTGAAGAGCATTAGTGTGCATAGGTTTATAATTTTAGTAATGTTTCATTTAATTATTATTCTATTTTCACTGTATTTTATATTTGTTTTAAATAATAATGTACACTTATATTATTAGTTTTCATAATTATTTGTTATTATCAGATCAATATTAATTATTATTTTATATTTTATAATTATTTAATTATTAGTCAAATAATTTATTTAATATGTCAACATTATTTGAATATGGATATGCAATGTACATAATTTTGTAATTATTTATTTATATAATTTTTAATAACTATCTAAAAAAAGTTAATTTTTTAAATTTGTTTCCAATTACAAACACTTTTAATTTTGTTTTTTCTTTTAAATATATAATCAATGTTAAAATATGGATAATTAATTAAAAATTTATATTTATAATCATTTGAACCTTATTTTATACAAAGGGTAAAATGATAATTTTCTTAAATAATCAACATAAAATTATAATTTTTATATCTCATATCAATCAAATCATTCACAATTTCTCATAAACTTTCCTTTCACTTTTCAATCATCTCCATTTCTCTTCAAATCCCTCATTTTCCACTCTCTCAATTCCACTCTCTCAAATCACTCCAACCAAACAAAGCCTACAAAAATTTGAGTTTTGCTATCAATCAAATTGAAGATTCATCAGTAAAAAGGTTTTATTAAAATATACAATATTTAATGTTATTGATATATATCAGCGTGTAGTCATTACTTGAATAAAACGAAGAAATTCTGATACTATTTTGCAATTAGAAAACGGACTTCTTCTGATTCTGAACTCTCTCGTGTATAACATTGGATTTAGGTCAACGGAGTATTTAAAATTGCTAATAAACAACATAAAGACTTAATATATATATATATATATATATATATATATATATATATATATATATATATATATGAGAGAGAGAGAGAGAGAGAGAGAGAGAGAGAGAGATAGTGGTAACTAGTAATATTAGAATATATTCAAGAGTTGTTTTAGAATTATTTTTTATTCACATTAAAATAAATATGAATATTAATTTTAATATATTTTGAAATGGACTTCCAGGGGAAGGTCAAGAAATGATAAATTGTGCCGTCCATTGAGTGTGACGGAAATCAAAGCATCAAGCATCATGAAATGTAAATTATTGAGCACGTTATTAAATTAAATGAATGAAGAAGAGAAAAAAGACAGAGAAATGAAAGACTAGTCCTGGTACTCCTTTTACCAGGACTAAGCGTGACGATCCAAAAATAACAATTAATACCAGCACCTGGTCGCTTGCTCCCGCGATTTTATTCTCCATAATTCATCAAACCATCATTGTTATATTTTAGTTAAATGCCCAAATTGTTCATCATAACTTCCACTCATTTTCCATTTCAACAACCATAATTGCACAATTAAGAATATTTATTATGTTTCATAAACCTCTGCTTCGATCTTAACAAACCATGTTTTTTGTTGGGATCATGATCATGATCATGGTCAAACATAGACCTTGGGCAGTGCTTTTGTTCACCATGTCTATGTTTATATTTCTATTCATCTCGTCTCTCAATCGCGTTTCTGGAGAAGACCCTCTTGATATATACTGTCCGAGTGAATTCCCATTGTACGACCTCAATAGTTCGTTCCATAACAACCTCAACCTGGTTCTGGGGTTGCTTTCTTCCGACAACGCTTCGGAGGGTGGTTTCTACAGCACATCTGAAGGAGAAGAGCCAAACAAAGTGTATGGGCAATCACTGTGCAGAGGGGACGTCACCAACTCCACGGTTTGCAAAGAGTGCATTGAGAAAGCAAGCCAAGATGTGATGAATAGTTGCAGAAGTGAAAATGCAATGATATGGTATAACCTTTGCCAAGTACGCTACTCCTTTCAGAATTTTGATGTCGTGGCTTACACTGGGAAGTATCCGAAGCAGAATTATGAGGAGAAGAATGTCTCTGATCCAACCCGATTTAGGGAATACTTGACTTTTTTAATGAACAATCTCTCAAACGAGGCTGCTTTCAATCCTGGGAGGAACATGTTTGCGGCTGGGGAAGTTGACTATCCTGGGAACAAGACAATTTATGGGTTGGTCCAATGTACGAGGGACATGTCCCCCACAGGTTGTAGTAGTTGTTTCAGTTCCGCCTTCACAGAACTTACTACATGTTGTTCCTACAGAGAAGGTGGGATTATTCTTAGTCGTACTTGCAATATGAGGTTCCAGTTGTCTCAGTTCTTCAATGCTTCTTCTGCATATCGTCTGGTTTACCCAACTTCCACAGGTATGGTATATGCTTTCCCACTGCACCATAAATTGTTCCATGCTCTAGTATTCAACTTCATTGCTTTGCTCACTTCAGTGTGATTAATTTCTTTTCCACTGATTGATTCTTATTCAACTTCACTCTTAATATATATATATATATATATTTGTTTTTCTAATACATTTTATTCCTATTTGTTTATTCATGTTCGTATAGGATAATTTTAAAAAAAAAGAGTCAGATTTACTTAGATTTTTTAGTTTTAATTATTGTAAATTATAAAACAAATTAAAAAACGTTATTAACAGTGATGATGTGACATTTATTTTGTTAAAAATCTCTTCATAAATTTAAAGCATCGGTTTGAAGTAACGTACTTTTGGAAGAACTTGTCAAAAGTTAAGCAATCGTAGCCATCCTCGATACACTAATATAAGAGTCATATTTTCTTTTTGTCAATTAATCTTCTATTCTCATTCTTATTCTTTGGCCGTTTCTTTGAGTTCATAGGAAACAGAATTTCTCTTAATTCCCACAGATTTAGATACATATCATATGTCATATCAAATAGATATTAGTATATAGTATAATAAGATGCATCTTGCGTTATTTCTGAGTAATGACATGAATTATTTAAAAAATAAATAAAACTTATGAAAGTCAAAACTAATAATTTTTTCAAGATTAATGTTGATTCCATCTATCCACTGGAAAAGGTGATGACAAAAGGATTTTTCAATTTTGCAAGGATGGAAATGGAAGACGTGGATGTTTGTGTTGATTATATGTGGGTCAATTTTTACATTGGCACTTGTTATTGGGCTTATTGGGCTGGGCATTGCTTGCTTCCGAGGAAAGAAAGATAGAGACCAAGGTAAGGTTGTACATTGCAATTAATTGTCAAAGAATTGTAATAGATGGAGTTAACTATCACAAAACCATTCAAGGATTGTCCGAGATAGAGTTTTAGTTAGTGAATTGTGACTTCAAATGAAACAGATGAAGAAATAAGTGAAAGAACGCTATTAGAAGAGTTGACTACCCCCAGGCATGTAGCAGTCACACAAGAAGGTGACTTGATTAGTTCCGAAGAACTGTTGTTCATGACTTTAGCTTCCATCAGGGTCGCTACAGATGACTTTTCTGATACAAATAAGCTGGGGCAAGGAGGGTTTGGTGCAGTGTACAAGGTCATAATCCATGAAAACTCTATTTGTAGGACATGTATGGTAGATAGTCCTCTCATCATGTTTGATTTTGGAATCTTGCATTGCAGGGTGTTCTGCCAGATGGTAATGAAATAGCAGTTAAAAGATTGTCGAGAAAATCTTGGCAAGGCATAGAGGAATTTAAAAATGAAATCGTGTTGATTGCCAAACTTCAACACAAGAATTTGGTGAGGCTGTTAGGTTGTGCCTTGGATGGAGAAGAAAAGTTACTCATATATGAATTCATGTCAAACAAAAGCCTTGATCAACTTATCTTTGGTTTGTTCTTTTGCTCACCTCTAAATTCATAACCCTTCTGCATGTGTCGTTGATTGGTTTTGTGTTATGTTACACTGGAAAACATTTGATTGACTCGTGCTATTATTTACTATGAAGATCAAGAAAAACGTTCAAAACTTGATTGGAAGACATACTACGGTATTATCAGTGGCATAGCGAGAGGACTACTTTATCTCCACGAGGAGTCTCGCCTTAAAATCATTCACAGAGACCTAAAGCCAAACAATGTCTTGCTAGACCACGAGCTACTTGCCAAAATATCAGATTTTGGTATGGCTAGGATATTTTCTGAGAATCAGAATGCAGCAAACACCAAAAGAGTTGTGGGAACATAGTAAGCCAATTACATATATATTTCCACTGAATATTGCATGTAAATTAATACATAGATCAAAATTAAGCAATGAAAAAAATTATAACGAAATCAAATTCCCAAAATCAGGATAGTAAATCTATATTTTATCCAAGATTGTTTTCCATGAACTGAACTATGTCCCCATGCGCGATGTTGATGTTCAAAATAGTGGATATATGGCTCCGGAGTATGCAATGGAAGGATTGTTCAGTGTTAAATCGGATGTGTTCAGCTTTGGTGTTATCTTGCTTGAAATCATGAGCGGAAAAAGAAACAGTGGCTTCTACCAAACCGAACTTGCCCCGACACTGCTGGCATATGTAAGGCAAACACTTTCGTAGTAACATGTGTTTATTTTGTTAGTTCCGAATAATGGGTGGAACAAACATATATGTTATTACTTTTGTTTAATTGTAACTTCGGCAGGCGTGGCGACTGTGGAACGAAGGAAAAGAATTGGACTTTGTGGATCCAGTGGTGTTGGAATCAGGCCTGGGCTCTGAAGTTGTAAGATGCATGCACATTGGGCTTCTGTGCGTGCAGGAAAATCCGGAACATAGGCCCACCATGTCCAATGTGATGCTTCTCCTGGGAAGTGAATCAGTGGGTCTTCCCCAACCAAAACAACCTGCTTTTGCTCTGAGTAGGGTGCTTCATCTCGATCCATCTACGACAACCAATCCTTCAGACAAGGAGATTGTATTTTCTGATATTTTACCTCGATGATTTCCCACTGTTCTTCACAATGCAGGGTGTTGTTCTATGTTTCATCTTCTGATGTTTAACACAAACAATAACAAATTCTGTTTATCAACCTCTTCTCTTGTATATATATCCACATCAACAAGTGTTCCTTTCATTGCAGTCCCCACACAAGCCATCCCAGGCAACCATAATTTATCATTTTCCATTTCACGTGTTGGACTTTGCTTCCTCCTTAACCCCATCGCAATAAACCACACAAACATATAGCTTGACTTGCTTTATTGACTAGCTACCTGCGTCATGTATCATTAATATCCATTTTAATTTACGCATCATTCTAATTTACATAACATATACTACTAATAATGGTTATTGTTTTCACTAGCTCTGTTTTTTTTTTTTTTTAAGAAACATGGTATAAAACAAAGTGACCAAATGATGTAAGTTATATAAATAAGACATGAAAGAAAATGACGAGAAAGGATTCTGAATTTTCTTATGTAGAAAAAAAAGAAATGTAATGTACAAGGTATTTTCCGTAGGCGCCAAATGAATATACACAAATTCTTCTTTTCACTTACCGAGCTATCCTTTCAACAAAAATAAAAAAAATTTATTATGGACACATTCTAAAAATATTTAACCGAAGAGTATGCAAGTTCAGGAAGCAAAAGTACGTGCCCAAAGTCAAGGAGACTTCGTCGACTCCAGTCGCTATTAAAGAAGACAAGCAGCGGAAACTGCAAAACGAGTGCGTGTGTGAGTGGTGAGAGAGAGATGGTTACGCACGTATCCATGGCTTCGCTCAAGCTTGTGCTGCTGTTGATCATTCTCAGCTTCCTGAACTTGAACAACTGCAAAGCACAGGAACAAAATTCCGTCGACTCCGTCTATCTGTACCATAATTGTTCAGGGGGCAACACCACCGCCAACAGTGCCTACCAACTAAACCTCCGCACCCTCCTCAGTACCTTGTCTTCCAACGCCTCCGCAGAATTCTCCAACACTACCGTCGGAACATCCTCCTCCGACAGGGTGTACGGACTGTTCATGTGCAGGGGAGACTTCTCCTCGTGTCAACAGTGCGTCTTGAACGCAACCCAAGTTCTCCGCTCTGAGTGCTCTCTGGCCAAGCAGGCCGTCATATGGTACGACGGGTGCACGGTTCGCTACTCCAACCGCTCTTTCTTCTCCAAGGCGGACACTCGGCCACGTGTCGGACTCCTGAACACCGCCAACATATCCAACCAAGATAGCTTCATGGATCTGCTTTTCCGAACGATAAACAAAACTGCTGATGAGGCTGCCAACTTTTCTATTGGTGAGAAGAAATACGCGACGAATCAGGCCAACATTTCTGGGTTTCAGTCGCTATACTGTTTGGCTCAGTGCACACCTGATCTGTCTCCGCAAGACTGCAGAGGGTGTCTGAGTGGTGTGATCGGGGACCTTCCTTGGTGCTGTCAGGGAAAGCAGGGAGGAAGGGTTCTCTATCCTAGCTGCAATGTTAGGTACGAACTCTACCCTTTCTACCGCCTCAGCACACCCGCGCCTTCACCCTCGGCGACCCAACTTCCTCCTCCAACCAATTCCCAAGGTAAAATCTTAACACTTCTATTAGGACATACACTTTCTCCACTGCTATGTCTCTTAAGTTTTTCTCAAATCAAAATTTAAATTTTACAACAAAAACATATATGAAAGGATTACACTGGTCATCAATCTAAAATTTCAATCCCCAAGAGGAGAGAAAAGCACATAAGCAACTGTGTTGAATTATACGTAGTTGCTTTCATGGCTAGTGGGATTTGTTTTGATGTTTTCGAATGGGATGGATGCAGGAAGCGGAGGGATCTCAGCTGGGACCATTGTTGCGATTGTGGTTCCAATTACGGTCGCCGTGCTTCTGTTTATAGTGGGAATTTGTCTCTTGAGTAGAAGAGCCAGGAAGAAGCAGGGTTCTGTAAAGGAAGGAAAAAGTGATTCTCTCTCTTTTCTCCTCTCTCTTTTTAAAGTGAATGATTTTATCTTACGCGTTTGTTTTGGGCTTTTAGCTGTAGATGACATCACCACTGTGGAATCCTTGCAATTCGGTTTCGGCACGATTGAAGCGGCCACAAACAAGTTCTCTGCGGACAACAAGTTGGGCGAGGGTGGATTTGGTGAGGTTTTCAAGGTAAGATACCAGCGTACTTTTTTTATTCTGTGAAAAAAGTAGATGGGATCGATTTTCGGACGTGTCAGTCAGTTCTAGTTTGAAATTTTCAGGGCACTCTTCCGAGTGGGCAAGAAATAGCTGTCAAGAGACTCTCCAAAAGCTCTGGGCAGGGTGGAGAAGAATTTAAGAACGAAGTGGTGGTGGTTGCCAAGCTTCAACATAGAAATTTAGTGAGACTTCTCGGGTTTTGCTTGCAAGGAGAAGAGAAGATACTTGTTTATGAATATGTTCCCAACAAAAGTCTCGATTACACTCTCTTTGGTAGGACCAGACAATCCTTCTGAACTATGTTATACTTTATATGCTTGCTTTTTTTATTCTTCTTCCAGTTTTTGCCTTGTTGCCATCTTCAGTATATACGTAATAGGCATAAAGGATATTATTATGCATAAAAACGTAATGAACACATAAGCTTCAAGCATTCAAAGTGATGCAACGTTGCTTCATGATTCCTTCACTTTTGTTGTGTGACTTGAATATTTTGTCCAATTTGTAGATCCTGAAAAGCAAAGCAAGTTGGATTGGGGGAGACGTTACAAGATTATTGAAGAGACTGCTCGAGGCATTCAATATCTTCATGAAGATTCCAGGCTTAGAATTATACATCGGGATCTTAAAGCAAGTAACATATTGTTAGATGCAGATATGAATCCAAAAATATCAGATTTTGGCATGGCCAGAATATTTGGAGTTGATCAAACTCAAGGAAACACCAGTAGAATTGTAGGGACTTAGTAAGTACAGATTTGAAGCACCTGTTTTTTGTGGTAGCACAGTTTTCTAACTCTTAACATTTTAATCAAAAACATTTCAAATATCTTGCTGTTTCAAACAACCATACAAATTTTAAACATAATTTGCGTTACTAGAACAGATTTCTGTCTTTTCTTTCCGGTGTTGATTATTCAATCCGCGTTTTATACAGTGGTTACATGGCTCCGGAGTATGCAATGCATGGAGAGTTCTCTGTTAAGTCTGACGTGTACAGTTTTGGAGTCCTCCTTTTGGAGATTGTAAGTGGCAAGAAGAATAGCTCTTTCTATCAAACGGATGGTGCTGAGGATCTAATGAGCTATGTAAGTAGAGCGGATATTTAGGTTTTCTTGGGCTAATTCATTCAAATTGTGTATTCCAGTGAAAAGCTAAAATATGTGGTACTCACACCGTGACAAATACCTGATGCAACTTTTTGCAGGCTTGGCTTCTTTGGAAGGATGGAACACCCTTGGAACTGATGGATCCCATAATAAGAGAATCCTACAACCAGAATGAAGTTATCAGAAGCATCCATATTGGTCTGCTCTGTGTCCAAGAAGATCCAGAAGACAGACCTCCCATGGCAACAATAGTTCTTATGCTAGATAGTAACACTGTTACTCTACCAACTCCTAAGAGGCCTGCATTTTTCATCCACAGTGGAACCGATACAACCATGCCAAAGGTGCTGCAATTTGATCAATCTATAACAAAAACATCACCAGTGTCTATCAACGAGATGTCCATTAGCGAAATGGATCCTCGATAAGCTGGATTGCTTGAAGATTTTAATACGTATCATTATCCATCCACCTACTTATTTGTCGTAGTTTCACATGACTGTATTTCCAAATCTTTTAACACTGTATTGTATTTTATAGTTGCTTGTTTTCGGAACGAAATAACATACGTAGGTACGCTATTTAGTTTTCTCTCCCAAAATGTGAAATTTACAGTTGGTAGCAGGGTTCTTGTAATGTATAGAACATAGCAAAGAATAGTCGAGTTGCTTTTGTTCAACATTTACAGTTTTGAATAACCAAGTAACCATTTTAACCAACTTATATCATATTTAAACAATGTTAATTAGCATCCAAAATTTGAGGCTCTGCAACCTATGTGCAACAGTAAAGATTTAGCAACTTCTTGAATCTAGAAGGATTTGAAAATTATGCGTAATACCCACCCGAGAGAAACAAGCATGGAAAAGGGGGTGAGTCAATCCACCCATTTGCTGACGTTCACACTTTAGCCATCGAAATTGACCTAAACGTCAACCAATAAAGATATTTACTTTTCCGATAAAAGCAAGTCACAGCACAACCAAGTATCCTCTTCTTTCGCCATCCTTCTTCTCACTCATCATTTTTCACAGCACAAAAGAAACGCACTCATGTCTGCCTCTGAAATCTTTCAACCAACAATTATTAAGAAATAAAATGGTTGAAAGTAGCTTTAAATATTTAAGATGTACAATCCTTTCCATACCTTTTTTTCGGAGGAATTTGATGGGATCATGTAAACACATTTTCTTCCTAATTTTTTTTTGTTCAATTAGTCAGGTCTTTTTCTACATTAGTATTTTTAGGTTTTACAAATATGTACACTTTGGGACGGTTCATATCAATCAAAATTTCGTTTTGTAAACTGTTATTTTTCTTTCTCGTATTGTTAGTTTATTTTTATCTGTTTTCTTGAATCAACTGTTTGATATGACTGTTTCAATTTTAAATCTAGAAAATTCTTATTACATGCATCCAATGATAATCTAAAGGTTTCGTTTGTCAATTATCTTGGATAGTAAGAATAATTAACCTTTGTCTCCTCCAATAACTATATCATTGCAGTCCAAGAACAAACACAAAATCTTCAATTAAAAATTTGCCAAAAGTATAATATCTTATCACGATACATGAAAAGGTAAAACCAGAAGTTAGTTTTAGAGATAAATTGATTTACCTCATTAATAAAATATTAGATATTAACTTTTTTTATTTATACACCAGTCAATATTTAGTCTCTCCAAAAACCTTACCAAGCGGTTTTTAAATTTTGAAGTACATATTAAGGAATTATTTTTTCAATAAACTCATATTTATCAATTCACCAACTTTGATTAGGGATTAAAACTCTTATATCTATTATTGGTTTTTGGTACAATCAATAAGCTATTAAAACATTTAAAATTTTGTTAAGACAATGTATGAGATGAATTATTTTTTTTAATGAACAAAAAATTCAAAGTTTAAGTTTCGACACACCATGGTTAATAAATTTATATTCAATTTTATTTCAATAAAAAAATTGTTATATAAGTTATTTAATATAGTAACATGTAAAATTGTTAAGCAATTTATCATATTATACAATTTTTTAAAATAAAATACTATTTCAAATAACTAATATTTTTTAAAATATCTCGAGAAATCAATCTTATTAAATTAAAGTGTAGTAGCATTTTGAAGACAATAATGTGAACTTGTTTATTTATTTTCAAATTAAATGATTTTTAATTTTAAGAAATTGGATAATTAAATCACATAAATAAAAGGAGAGATAGCATACGACATATTTCATATAAAAACTTATTCCAAACTGCATGATAAGCTAAGAGAAGAAAAATAAAAAGTTAACTATAATATTATAAATATTGGTTGGTTGTATTTTTAGTAATTAGTTTTATTTCGATAATACATATTAATACATAATTAAAAAATATTATCAGAAGTATTAAAATGAAACTCCAATTTTAGTTACACAGCCGTATGAATAATAGCTATGGTTCTCCCTCTAATTTTTGTAATAAAATAAATTGTTGGAAGAAATAGAAATTATTTAATTTGGTATGAAAAATATTTGAAGGTTCCTGTCTCTCTACTCTGGTTTCCCTCACTCTGCTTAAATATGGGAAGAAAGCAGTTGCAGTTAAAGAAAAGTCTGTTCTTAATGCTATCTATGCATATTATCTTCTTCCCAGTTATCTAATGACACTTCAATTCAACTCAACTCTTTACTTGTTTCCATTGCATTGCTTCTTCTTCAGGTAATTTCCCTTCTTATCATTTCTTTTCCTTCATGGAGCGGGCTCTTGCCTTTTCTCTATTCAAGATTGCCTCTTTCTTTTTTCTCACTAGTAGAAATGGAGGACACCATGTGTGTCTGTGCCTGTGGTTTCCTATTCTTTTTCCATTCATATTTCATCAAGATTTTCTTTTTGTTTCTTTCAAATTTTCTGTTGGTTTCAGTTTTTTTTTTTTTTTTTTTTCTCTTTCTAGGGTTTGCTTGTCGTGTGGGTCTGAAACCCCCATACACACCACTCACCGCCCTTCCACTTTTCTTCCCAACTGTCTGCATTCATTTGCTTGCTTGAAAGTGTGGACGGAAATGACAAATTCAACAATTACATTATTTCCACTCTCATAAATTGTTCTTTTTTATTTGGGTTTTCTTTGGATGGAGCATTTGTTTCTGGGGCGAAACCATCGGGCAATGATCTGGGTTTTGTTTTTGTTTTGTTTTGGTTAGCGTTGAGTTAAGTATTGCCTGTGTTCATAATTATTCCGGAACCTTATTTTGATTGATTCTGATACTAGCTTTTATTGAAATTGAAATTTTCTTTTGACAAAGATTACGTTTTTGAGGGAAATGTTCGTTTTTTATTCCATCTCCCACCCTTCTCCCCCCTCAATTTTATGCTATTTGTGCTAAGATGTTTATAAATGGTGAATAAATGTTGTTTCCACGTTAATGCTAAATGGTTTATCCTGCTGTTTTTCGTTTCTTGGAGTTTTGGAGCTTTCAATTTAAACTCAGTTTCATTGCCGTTGATTTGATACAGGAATTTGAAAGGACTGGGATCCTTTATTTTGTATTTAATTTTATCATCAATACTTCCTTATTAGTGTATCTTTACATTTACTGATAATTTCTCACTTAGTTCTTTAATTATGCATTTTCAATTGGAAGCAGGGAGTCTGACCTTGCCATTTGGAGAAGTTACTATTAGGAGTTTCTGAGTAAATTAAGCATGATAAGGCGGTCGCCCAGTAGGAACTACAGATCCAGAGGCGTCACTGTAAAGCAGGCGCTGCAGATTATTCTGTTTTTAGGTGTTTGCTTCTGGTTGATCTATCAGGTTAAGCACTCGCATGATAAGAAAAAGGAATTTGTTGAGAATGATGCAAAAGTGTCAGTTGGAACTCAGACTCTGAAACTTGGTAGAAAAGATCTTCATCTGGGTAAGGATGAAGTAGTTCAAAATGAAAGGCGTGAGAAAGAAGAGAATAATGTAGAGGATGAAGATAAGCATGAACACGATGAACATGAAGAAGAAGGAAATGAGCATGAATCTGAAGAACAAGAAGGAGAAGACGAACAAGAGGAAGATGAAAGGGGTGGAGAAAATGACGAGATAGATGAGAATGTTCTAGATCAATCAGAAGCGGATACTGATCATGATGAAGAGCTCGTGGATAATGAGAAAGACCAAGAAGAGGATGATCCGGTTGAAAACGACGGCAGTCATGAAGCTCGGGAGGAGCAATACAAGGGGGATGATGCTTCTAGTGCTGTGACTCATGATACTGGTACAACTAGCACTGAAACTGAGTCAAATTTAATAAACTCTGATGCAAAATCAGAAATGAAAAACAGGAAATTAGGTAATAGACCGAAAAGTCACAGGAACCAAAATAGTTCAAATTTGGAATTTAGAGATGCTGAATTGGCGGGTGGGACTTCTTACGATGCCAGCCTGTTGAACGCAGTGAATAGCTCACATCTAGACAATGTTACCTTGACATCTTTGGACAATCATTCAGAAGCTGGCACTAATCTGGAAATAGTGATTCCTGGAGGTAGCAATAACTCGACAGGAATCAGTATCAATACTTCATTTGAACTGAATGAAACGGTAATATTGTCTGAATCAAACCAATCTCAAAATGGTACCATGAACACAACAGTCAGTGGAGATGTAAAAAATGTGCCACCAGAAGGATTAGTGCAGGGTGGCAATAGGGTCTCTGAAGAAAACCATCCTAGTTCTAACTCAACAGTCCCTGTTGAAATAGAAAAGGGAGATGCAGCGGCAGGTGAATCTTCTGATCTAGAGGGTGGTGAATTAGAAAAGACAACAAAATCTATGACATCAAATGAAATACAGAACAGTAACACTGAAATGAGTGAAACAAAAAATACTCAGAATATTTTTTATGTGAAAGAGAACACTGATGCTACTAAGATTGGATTCAAGGTTGATACACAAACAGATGAAACATCGTACTCATCCTCTAGCATAGGAACTTCTGACCCAGTTGAACACCATGACACTGATCCATCTGATTTTCACATCCTCAAGAGTGTGACAGAGGTCCAAACTGATCTGGATACGTTGGCAGATATTAGAAATGAAGGAAAAATTGGTGGCGCCACTGCAACAGACTAAAAACATGGTCTTTTGGTTCTCGAGAAGAGCTAGGAGAATACTAGAGTTTTTGTTTTGACCCATGTCGATATTTGGAAACTTTTGCTTGTCAAAAAAAAAAATTAAAAATTTATAGCCAAGACCGTCAAGGGTACAAAGGTAGGCTTGTGGATATTCATATCAAAGTCTGAACATGTAACTAACTAGTTTCCTTTTTCCACTATCTACTGCTATTGCTTATTTTGCTTCCTGTCTTGTTATTGGCGCTGTAATTCTATTTTTTACTTTTGCCTATAATCTTCTTGTTTCGATTTCTCGTTGTAATATCCAATCCAATCAGTTTCTTCTTACCAACCTTTGCTTTCTTACAGTGGAAAGAAGGATCAGGAGAATATATTAAAATAAAATTGAATTGAAGAGAAAATAGAAAGAGTCGCCTGAACTACATTAATGGACAGCTAAAATATGCTATCTTGGAGAGACAGGAGAGGATTAATGGGGTGTTTCTTTAAACTTGGAACTAATTCCATTGTTTTAATCTAAAAGTTTTAGATGGAATTTATTGAAATGCAAATTTTAATCACTTGCTGCATTTTATAAGTATTTTTCCAATAAAAGTAGTTTAAACCAAAATCTGATTTTAAAAAATTGAAATCACTGGCAATAAGCCTGTTATCATTTATAAAATAGTTTTATTATTTAAATGTAAACCTTAAAGTTAAAAACAGAGAATCAGAAAGCTCTTATGGATGCGATGAAAACTGCTTATGAGATCCTTAGGCAGAACGTCTATGGCCATAACCTCTTCACACAACTCAAACATAGGAGTCTTATCCAAATTCTGTAATTCATGCAAGACATATCAATGATTTCTAAAAAGTGTTATTAATATTCTTCTATGATGATTTTTAGTTAATAAAATTTATCCTTTAATTTCCTTGAAATATTGAATTGGTGACAAAATAATAAAATGAATCCAACCCTTGAGCCAAATATAATTTGTTGCCTTCATTCACACACTAACCCAGCAGCACCTTCACTCAAACTTGAATGTTTTATTCATTAATTATGATGGGTCACTACTTGTTTACCCATCACATAAGTTGCCTAAATTTAAAATCATTAATTGGAAAGGTAAGAATGAGTTTTCTACTGCCATCTCTTTCTTGGTAAACTCTCTCTCTCTCTCTCTCTCTCTTCGAAGTTGGAAAAATAATGTTTTTTAGTGGGTTTAAGCCTGATAACAGTAGATTTTGATGCTATTCCTCTCTGACAACTCAACTTCTCACTATTTGATGTTATGGTTAACAGGTAACATTATCCATAGTTACTTACTCTTTTAAGTCACTTTAGTGTGTATTAAGAAATCTTTATATTTCAAATTTTTTTTCTATTTGTTATAATGTTAAGTTTGGTTCGAAAATTATGTTTGAATTTCAAATCATTCGATTTAGAAGTTAGTATTATTTTATTATTATTATTATTATTATATATTATTATTCTCTTTCCTTCATTGTATATGAATTTAACAATTTTTTTTCTTTCTTAACTTTTTTTAATAAAGTGTATTATGTGTAATAATTCATCTTTCTCCTTTTTTTTCCATATTTAACATTATATCAATTGATTCTCACAATGAAACTCTGAAATTTTCATTGTTATTGTCCCGATTAATTCTACCATAATAAGAATCCTAGAATCAACATTGTTTATATCCAACTCAACAACAACAATTATCATTTTTAGTTAAGATCATGACCATGGCCATCCGGTCTTTGAACTAGCTTGGATTCATAAACAGTGATGCTGTCAACCTCGCTCCTAGTGATTATCGTTTTTCAGGCTGAGATTCGGTACAATAGTATGATTCTCTTTGGATTCATCATTTGGTGCATTCCACAACCCTTCCAAGTATCATTTGGACTGGTCATGCTTCAACAACATACAACCAGTGATTTCGAAACCTCTTGTGCCACTAATCATGACATTAATATTTCAAGTAATTAATTCTGCATGTAGTGTTGGTGTAAGTGGGCTTTTCAAATTTTTTAAGATATTAATTTTTTTTACTATCACTCTTCTAATTCTTTAGTAAGAGATAAGTTTACAATGCATATTATTTCTAATCTCATATCCATTAGAATCAAGATATATTTATAAATCCGAATCATCATAGTCAAAATAGACTAAAGAACTAATAAGTCTGCATGTCAATATTACACACACACACACATATATATATATATATATATATATATATATATATATATATATATATATATATATATATGCCTAGTTTTATTTTTCTGTTCTTGACATTGTACATTCTTTTTATGGGTTAGAGATAAATCTTGTCCACCACTTTTCACAAAATAAACTTCAAATATTCATATCTAATCTCCATGTGTTAAAGTGAGTTTTGATGAGATAGTCGGCACTTGTAGAAAACAAATTAATGTTAGAAATCAAAATAAAACAAAAAGTATCATATAATAAGATCTATTTTAAGATTTTTTATATATAAAAACAAAAAATAAAATCTATATGTTACAAATACTATACAAATTTGACTAAACATTTTCAATACTAAAGAATAAGGCAAACTTCAAATTACTTCCACAGAAGAGTAATTAATTTTGGTGCTTTTAGATGTAATCAAAATCTTTTAAAATGATATTTTCTAAAAATATAATGTATTGTTGTTTATTTTATTATAATCCCCACTTTAAATACTATAATTGAGTATCCTATAATGGATAACTAAAATAATCTTCAATAGGAATGTGACTTACCCTTTAATAAATCTAGATTCGATGGCAAATATTTATCCAGGATTATATATATATAAAGTTGGTAAAAAAAAAAATCAAGTGAAAATACTCATTTTAAGAAGGTTATTCCTACGTGTATTTAATATAAATCATCCGACCCCATATTGAGTATGTTTGCTTAATTTATGTTTTCAGAAAAAAAAATTACAAATTTATTTATTATAATTTTTGACATATTTTAATAAACGTATTTAAGAGGGTAGAAATAGAATTTAGAAACAATGTTGAATTTTTTTAAAGTAAATACAGTAAAAATAAGAATAATTTTGTAAAAAATATAAAAAAGTTATGTGAAATATCAGTTAAAAAATAAATTATTCTTTAATAATAACTTTTTAAGCAGAAACAACATAAATAAAGATATATAAGATTAAGTAAAAGTAAACTTGGTTTTGATTACTTGGGAAAAGTTACCGAAAGTAAGAATAAACTTTTCAAAGCCTTTTATCTTCCATACAGTTTTTAAGCCTGAATGTCTGTATCTATCATTTGCATTTTACAGCTAGATTTATCAATAAGTACATAAAAAAGGATTGAGTGATGGACGAATAAAGAATAGTATAAGACAAAATTTTGTACAGGTGGAAATTTAAGTCAACAAGTCTTCATGCTGATTTGATATCCTAATGTGCCTATAAATTTGCTATCTGTCATTCATTGTTTGGAAGCAGAAGTGGAGGACAAATGAAATATTGGTTATGAAGCATTTTGCCTCTGTTTACAGCCTGGCCGAATGCTTTGCTCCTGGTGATGCCATTATTGCCTCTCAGGCCTCCACACAATACACTCACTACACCTGTTTCTGTTTCTGCTGCGGCTAATATATGCTTTTCTCTTTTCAAATGTCCATTGGATCTCATTCATCAACCACTTACACTATCAAATTATTAAATTAATTCCAATTACTAACACGGTTGTTAATATCGGATCGTTCTTGCAGCAGACTAACGTTAGAATAATATAAGTTTAACAGTTATCTTTGAAGAATATTTAAAAGGTCAAATCCAAAGACAGTTTAAGAAATACTTTGTAATTTGTTTAGTTTTTCTGTGTTTACAAATATCAAATATTGTAAATCTCACGTCAGACATGCACGCACTTGAACTAAAACATAGGATTCTGAGGCTTCTTCACCTCCCTCGCATCTGAATTCAAACTCACTTGAACTAAAACATCGGATTCTGAAGCTTCTTCAACTCACTCGCACCAAATCTTAATTCAAACGCACCAAGAGATGGATTAAAAATACTGTACAAACCAACTCTTCATAAAAAAGGAAGAATAAAAGAATACAAGAACATCTGATCAGTAAGCAAAATAAGAATTCAAAACTTTATGTCTAAGCTAAGAAAATGCCAAATAATTTCCTAACTGTACATCCTCACTCAAAACCAAAATGAAAAAAATTGAGTCTTCTTCTCTCCCCTCTTGATCAGAGGTTCCGCTTAGCCTTAATTTCACGCAAAACGACAGAGGAATTCACATCGAAACGACAAAATCCGGAATCTACTGCCTCAACTCCTTCCGGAGTTTCTGAGAGAACAACTTGCAAGCATCCATACTCAAATCCAAGGCCGCCGCGAGAGCAACGAAAGCCGCAGCATCCTCCGTGCACGTCACGTGCTGCACCCCAACTTCCACTTCGGGTCTGCTACACTTCCCTTCACCGTCCACGGTCGCCGACATCACGAAACCCTTGTTAAAAAACAAATTTGGTTCCAACCCGAAATCCGAACTGGAGCCCGAACCGGACCCCAGATCCCAGCTGCCGCGCGGGGTGTTCACCGGAGTGACGCTGGATGTAGCGTCGATGGTGAATTTCCCACCGTGTTGAGAGCTGATGCTGGAACCGGCGAGGGTGACGGGGACAGCGGTGGCAGGGAGGATTTCAAAGCGGTACCCGACGGCGTTGGAGTTGTTGGGCTCGCGCCAGGCCTCGAGGCGGCCCCATGGCTTCCACGTGCCGTCTCCGTCGGGGCGGATTATGAGCCAGGCCCCGGGGTTGGAGCGGCTGACCCGCTGTGAACCAGGGGAAGGGACAAAGGGCGTGGCCATGGAGGCGGCGGCGACCGGCGAGCCGGACAAGTCGTGAACAGTGATGGACCATCCTTTACGCTCGGCGGAATGGTTGGCGTTGGGTGAAGGGAAGTGAGCTGGGTTCTTGTCCCTGAAGCTGAACTTGCAAGTGAAAACCGGTTGCTTTACGTCGCCTTTGATTTGGAAAACCTGGGGGCTACACTCCGGTTCCCCGTCGAAGCGGAAGACGAAGCGCGGGTCAGGCTCGGCCCGGACGGTTAGATGAAGAAACTGGGTCTGGGCCTGGTTGTTGTTTTTGGAAAGGGGGAGCCAACCGTTGTGGAAGGTGCAGGGGCGTGATTCAGCCAGGGTGAGATCGACGGGAATGGAGATTTTGCCTATCAATTTGGGCGAGGTGAAGATGCAGGAGGGAGTGGCCGGGCCTTTGTAAACTGTTATCCTTACGAGAGCTTTCTTGGAGGCTTTAATGATTTTGGGTTTGGAGAAATCAAAGGTTGCTGCGAGGGAGCGAGGGTGTGGGTCCGAGTCTGATATCAGAGGGACACTGGCAACGTTGGTGCATGAAAGGGAATCCGAATCCACTCCCTTGAGTTGGATCTTGCAGAATAAGGGAGAAGTGGAAGGGTGCACTTTGCCCGAGAAAGAAGCTGGTCTTGATGACGCCGGGGATTTTACTGCGAGGTTTCCGACGAGAATCCGCACGAAGGGGCACGGATCCATGCTGAAGGAATGAACGAATGAATGATGTGCGTGTGAGAGAGAGAGAGAGAGATGAGGTTGGATTGAATTAATAGGAGAGGAAGCAAGTGGTGAAAGATATTGATTTATTCATATCTTGGTATGTGACAGTGAGAGAGAAAGGGAGAGATTACTAAGGAAACTGAATGTGACAGCCTGTAACTAGTTGGAGATTCATTATTTCATTCCTCATTGCCTCCCCTTCTGTTTCGTACCATTTATTTTTTCTTTTCTTTTCTTTTCTTTTATATATTCTTATCTTCTTTTTTCTATTTCCAATTTTTTTCCTCTCCATTTCTTTTTTGTGTTTTATTCATTAATGTCTGTATTAACTACCCACTATGTCAAAATTACTCATAATTCCTTTGGCTTCCTTCTAATTCTCATTGACCACTAATCTCTCCTCTCACCCATGTCTATAAGTTAATGTGATTCTGTTTCCCAGTTCAAAAAGAATGCTACATCTTCACTCTCTTTTCTCTTCAGGTTAACATTTACTCCCCTATTCTATTTGCCAAACCAAACAAATACACTCCACTCACTAAACAAAAAAAAAAGTATCGATTAGAACAGAAATATCATGCGTGAGCTGGAAGCAGAGGGAAAGTACGGAAGGGCCAGCGAAGAGCTGTTGGGCAAAGGGTGTCCTATTGAGAGTGCGCACGTACGCCTTCTCTCACGCCTCTGTCGGGGATCCAACCCTCCCACAGCTGGCCTCTCCCTTCGTTTCACTCTATTCTTCTTTTCCCTTCCAAAATCAATTGTTTCTCATTCTCTTTAGTACGTAACAAACTTTTTTTTTTTTTTTCATTTTTAATAAGTGGATTCCACTAAACTCTCACGTTCATCTAATCTAACTACATTTTTTTATTAATTCACTTGTATTGCCTTTTATTTAAAATTTCAAATTCAATCTAACTTAATTACACTACAAAATAAATATATAATATTCTTGTATATTCATCATATCCATTTTTAATATTATTGTTCTTTTACACTTATTAAAAACATATTTTTTTGAGATATTTTTTTAATACTTTTTTTTTATTATTCAATTCCATAATTCAAGTCCATCTAATCCAATCATAATTGGATTGATTTGGATTGCTAACTAAAAAAGGTAAAGCGCATCCAGCTCGATTAAATTTATTTGAATTGAGTAAAACATTATATTAATATTAACCACACCAACACACTTGATATTATGTAAGTCATTCAAAAAATATTGTTAATATTTATGTTTATATTACTATTAGATTAAATAACAAAATGTGAATCATATATTTTTATATAAATAATATATTACATAAAAATATAAATTAGATTATGTACTATACATATTAACAAGCTGGATAATCAGTAACTTTCTTAAGTAATTTACTTTCCTAACAAGCAGTTTAGGTCTTACAAATATTTTAAGTTGACTATAACAAATATTTTTACGCTACTCACAGGTGATGATGAGTTTCAAAGTCTCACTTGTTCACAAAGCAAATGTATGCCATTCTTTTTTTCTGCAAATGCATGCCTTCTTGAACTACTCTAGAAGGTTTTCCTTTAAACTACACACAATCCTTTATCCTAAGTTTCTTTTGTAAATTTGGTCAATTATTATTTATAGATGAAAATGACAATTATATGTGGACAGTTCAAGATATTTTGTGTAGTTACAATCCCCCATTGATTCTTTCTTATAACCACTTGTGAGTATTTGGAATTTAGTAATGAATATTCTCATGTGTAACTTCAAGCTATTTATATGCTTTGCTGGTTGAATGTCATACTTCTCGTTCTCATTCTTCTTTTATTATTATTAGCTTTCAAATAACCATCCATATAAAGTTATGTTGACAAAATAAAATAAAAAATGTTGTATTATAAATATTATTTAATGATGATATATAGAAATAGAACATTAGAAAAAATGTTGAAGGGTTTTTGCAATAGAAATTGATTGGAATGAGAATTATTAATGCAAGATTGTATCCATATCCAAAATCCAGACAATAGGAATTAATAAGGGGATGAATTAGCATCAGGGTAAATCTCAGTACCATGTTTGTTGTCAAAGGCATCAAAATGGTCAATAAGAGTTGTTTGGTCCATCAACATTATTTGAGCAGCATATTTTGCAACATGGTGGTTCATCAAATGAAAACATTAAATGTTGTAACTCTTGCAAACCAAAACCAGATGTTCTTCTCCCTGCCTTTTCTCCACCTCCAGCTCATTAACAATTTGGGCGAGTTGCATGTTCAGATTTTAAATATTGCCGTTAGGATGAGCCTCTACAAGTTGTTGACCACTGCTGTTACCACACTCCAGCGAAGAATTTTGAGTTAGATAAGAATGAATTATGGATTCAACTTCTGAGTGACCAAATCAGAAGGCCTTGTACGGGAGAGAAAACAATGAATGCAATTCCTACTCCACAGAGGGTGCAAAGCTCACTGCCTTTTTGAACAGTCCCGCTTAGAATATGTCACTTGGGGTGTGATCAGTTTAAATGTATGGGTAGAATTTTTTTTTTAAATTCTTGATATTGATAAGAATAAAGTTAATGAATATTTTACACTTATAATGATAAAAAAAAAGTTGTTTGAGAAACACAAAAAAGTATATAATAAATTTAATTATAAATATGTTAAATTATTTTTCATTTTAAATATGTAGTTAAATATAACCTCTGGTATCTAACTTATTGTTTTTTTAGAAGTTAAATGGTTATTAAGACATCAAGATGTTATGAGATATTTAATTTTCATAATTATTAAAAATAACCTTCTGGACATAACTTCTGTTTTATTAAAATATGCATATTAGTTTCAATATTAAACACCTGTTTCACATCATTATTTTCCAGCGAACACACTGTCCTACACTCTTCATCATTTGTCTCAGATGTTCAGGGACTCGCCAAAATTTAAACGGAAATAATTTATATATTAAAAAAAAATCTAAATGTAAAGATGTCATATTCTAACCGTTATATTGCTATTAAAAAAACTTTGTAACGATATATGTAGCTATTAAAAGAGACCATTTAACTATATATAAACATGTAAACAATTTTTTGTACTAATTAATTGTAAAATATGATCATATTTGTTAATCTATATTCTAAAAAGACTTTTTTATTTTTTATAAAATTTAACATATTTGTACATTAAATTATTTGTTATTGATTTTAATTAAAAAAAAAGTCTAAAAGTGAAAATAATAATAATAGAGGTTAAAAAAAAATTGATTTTTAGTAAATGTTTTTTTATGCAAAATATCAACTTATTTATTATCAATGTGATTTAATTTAAAAATATAATTTGAGATCGTTAAAATGGGTCTGATGAGTTTGATCTCTGCATATAAAAAAATCATATGATAAAAAATATATCATCTAAAAAAATAATAAAAAAAAATCCACGTTTCAATCTCTTATATTTTAATTTTTTTCTTATTTTACTGAAAATGATTGAAACAACCTAAAATTTAATATATTAATATAAATAGAAGTCAGGTTAAAAGTACTCTATTATTAAAATTAATATATAAAAGCTTAAATATACTAAAAATATATATTTGATTGAGTTTTAAAACAATATATTAGATTAAGATTAAAAGAAAATCATAATAAACTTAATTGATGAAATTATATGTTTATTTACTAATTTTCTTAAAACAATTCCTTAGATTTTTGTCTAATAGATAAAGTTAATTGAATGGTTGTCAAATTCATAACATGTGTTCAGTATTATTTTTTTAAAAATTAATTTTATATTTTACATAAAAAGTACACTACAGTTCACATTCGTTCTTATTATTTGATGCTTTGTGCTTTTGTAAATACTTAGTTAACTTGCTCTATATTTTTTATATTATTATTTTAAAAAAATAATTATTTGCTTATTTCTATTTTATAATATTATATTAAAACCTTTGTAATCTCGTTTTTTTATAACCTTTATTTTACCTGACGTTCTATCCTTACTTTATATATACTTTACAATAATATATATTAGATATTTAATTTTATTTTCCTTCATTAACAATCAAATATTTATTCTTTTTTTATAATAATACTATGAATATTTTTCTTATATTTTCTATTGTTTTATTTATTATTGATATAATAAAAATAATTATTTTAAAAAAAATATGATATTAAAACATTAAAAAATATATACTAGTATTAATTAGATAACAAAAATATATAATGATAAAAAATATTAAAAAAAGATAATTCTTATTAAAAAAAAACAATACAATAAATTTATAAAAAAAATATAATTACATCATATCATTTCGAAAAGACCGTATTGTTATTTATTATAAAATTTTATATATATTTAAAATACATGTAATAATACTTTATAAGATTCTATTAAATTATACTTGCATATTTTGTTTTTTTTTTTATTATTATAACAATCTCTTTCATAATATAAATTTGATATATTTAAAATTTAAGAAAATGCACAAGGAATGAAAATAAAATATTGTTAAAACAATCCAAAGATTTATAAAATTTAAATTTGAGAAAATCACATAAAGAGTCAATCACTTTATTAGTTTGATATTTAATTGATTTAATAATATAGTAGTATTATACTAGTTTAATTATTGTGACAAAAAGTTTATTATAAAATGTGTATAGATATATAAATAGTTTGGATCTTTAATTGACCAAACAAAAAAAAATTGAAATAATAACACAAAAGTAATTCACATGAACATTGTTTGTATTATTTCTTAATATTAATATATATTTATTGTAAAAAATAATCTTTTTATGCTACATAAATTCACACGGTATATTAATATTTTTTTTATTAAAAGTTGAATCCATCATCCCATGAAATGAGTAAAAAATTAAAATATATTTAAACAAATATTAAAACTTTCATATTAATGAAAAACGAAAAAAAAGACTTTGATAAAAATATCGTAGTATGAAGTTTTCCTTTTATACATAATTTTAGATAATGATTACTTATTTTTAATATTCCTTAAATTCTCAGTGACGTAAAAACATAATATATAAAAATCGAAAAAATGAAAAAAAAAAATACGACTTAAAATTTCAGAGACAAATATTCATTAAATCAAAACAATTTATACTAATAAAAGAATATAATTAATTTTTTTTTACAAATATTAAAAAAAATTCAACTAACTAATAAATTATATATATTTTTTAATTTTTCATAAAAAAATATACGTAAATATCTTTGTTCTGAGATCCATATACAACTCTTTTTTAATCAACAATTTCCTTTTAAATAAATAGATTTACGATACTGAAGAAAATCAGAAGAAATTTATAAAACAAATCAAAATATAATTTTTTTTATTTTAAATTTATACGAATTCACATCATTTTTGTCACAAGCATATGTATATTCTTAAATTTATTATAAACCCAAATTATTCACATAAACATATATAATTACAATTAAATTTTACTTAAGCAAAATATAATGCAAACAAGTAACCATGCTCTTCTAATAAGAATAACACAAATATAGTGTTAGAAATTAGAAACACAATAAAATTGGTGTGAAATTCATTACATGTGATACCGAAAAGTAGTCCTCCCTCTAAACAAACTCCCTAATATTATACTGCATCCTTTCACTTGAGAGAGAACATAAGAAGTAGGTTGTCCGAGTGGCAGGCATGGCGATACGCGATGCCCGACACTAGACTGTCCTTCTCTTCCCTTCTAAAATTCAATCTCTCTATCTCCCTGATCCTAACTAACTAATTTAGGGATTAGGTTTACCCAAACAAATGACTACTGCATCTCAGTCCCGATACATAGGTCCTCCCTCCGTCGGACCGGGACCTGGCGATGCTCTCAACCGCATCCTCGCCGACCTGTGCACTCGTGACAATCCCAAGGTAACCACATTCAACGCTGCCACACTCTCTCTCTTTACTTTACTTCAATTCAATTCATATTGATTACTTCACTCACTCACTCCCTTACTCCCTTACTCAGGAGGGTGCTTCACTCGCACTGAAGAAGCATCTAGAGGAAGAAGCTCGTGATATTAGCGGCGAAGCCTTTTCTCGTTTTATGGATCAGTTGTATGACAGGATATCGAGCCTTTTGGAGAGCAGCGATGTTGCCGAGAATCTTGGAGCTCTCAGGGCTATTGATGAGTTGATAGATGTGGCGCTTGGAGAGAATGCTTCCAAGGTTTCCAGATTTTCCAGTTACATGCGGATAGTCTTTGACACCAAGCGCGAACCCGAAATTTTGGTTCTTGCTAGTAGGGTTCTTGGTCACCTCGCCAGGGCTGGCGGAGCCATGACTGCTGATGAAGTCGAACGCCAGGTTCCTGCACTGCATCCTTTCTCTCCTGTTTTCGACTTCACTTCACTCTGCTGATTTTTCTTTCTTCTTTGCTCCTTCTTTTTTAGGTCAAGATTGCTCTGGATTGGCTTCGAGGGAATAGAGTGGAATATCGTCGATTTGCTGCCGTTTTAATCTTGAAAGTAAGTGTCATTACAATTGCTTTTATTCTGGTGATGATTTGATCGAGACTTTGATTCTCGAGTTAGTTTTGTAATTGGAGAGTTTTTTCCTGCTTGTATACATTTTGATTGTGATTTTATGTTGTAACATCTTTAAAATCTCCCTGTTACTAAGAACATGATCTTTTGATTTTGGTCATGCAGGAAATGGCAGAAAATGCATCAACTGTTTTCAATGTTCATGTGCCAGAATTTGTTGATGCCATCTGGGTTGCTTTAAGAGATCCAGCATTACGAGTTCGTGAGCGGGCAGTGGAAGCATTACGAGCTTGTCTTCGTGTTATTGAAAAGCGTGAGACAAGATGGCGTGTGCAGTGGTTTGTTCTTAACCTGTTAAGATGTTTAACATTTAAAACACCGGTAAACACAAAGCTGAATGAACTTTAAATAAATTCTCTTAGAAGAGTTTGCACCATCAAATTAAAAATTGATTGTTTATTCAACTTTCTGTCAGTTCTAGGAAGTAAAATCAATTAATGAATAGAATCTGAAAGCTGAAGTTCTTATCCTAACTATGAATAGTTATGACAGACATTGTAAGATAATTTATCCCTACACAGAATGGTTGGTTATGCAGTAATAAATTGCACAGAATTTGTCTTTAATCCATGGTAGTAATACAAAGTATGAGCTGGGCCAGTTATCGATAATAGTTTAATAGAATTGGCTTGTGAATAACTACAGAAATGTGGTATATCTTAGGGCATTTGAATTCACATTGATGGTTATGCTATTGATAGTGGGGTATCAAGCTTTCTGTAAGGTTTTGACTAATGAGATGCCTTTTGGACATCTGATTTATACTT